TCCGAAAAATGAAAAATACTGATCAGTTTAACACTGCCCTACTCGGCCTTTGCCTTGCCTTGCCTTGCCTTGCCTTGCCCTAACCTTGTTCTAAGAGTAAGACGTATTTTACCGTGCTTTTTACAGTCTTACCTACCCTACCCTATTGGTAAAATTTAAAAATCAGTTTTTTCATTACCTGAAGTTACTTAAAATACTATATTAGTATACAAAAAACCAGTTTAAAGTCTTATTTTTAATCTTTCCAAACCGTCCACATAAACCTCCAATGTGTCAAAGAACGTTAAAGCAAAGAACGATGGGCTTCAGACAGCCTTGAAAGACAGATTAGTATTATAACACAAAAACGTTTGGGCATGTGATGAATACAAGTCGAATTGCACTCACGTAAAGAACAAAAGATTAACTGTAATTGATAAAAGCAGTGGAATCAAATTTAATTTTATATTATCGTAGTCTTGCAGCAGCAAAATTGTCTAGAAAAGCAGATTTTAAACATGCCTACATATAATACATTTTTTTAGCTTTATCCTTAGTCCGAACTCAAACTTAAGTCTTAGCTTTAAGCTTAAAATTGAGATTAACACTAAGCCTGAGCCTGAGTCCGAGCCTGAGCCTCAGCTTAAGCCTGAGCTATAGCTTAAGGGTAAGCCTAAGTCTATGCCTAAGCCTAAGCCTAAGCCTAAGCCTAAGCCTAAGCCTAAGCCTAAGCCTAAGCCTAAGCCTAAGACTAAGCCTAAGCCTAAGACTAAGCCTAAGCCTAAGCTTAAGATTAAGCCTACGCCTTCATTTATGTTAGCAATAACTTTAAAATTTGAAAGACAGTATCAATGTACTTTGCTTTAAAACTTTTACAAATTTCAAAACAGAAAAATACCCTAGCGTATACCCTCCAGATCACATTTTGTCTATTTCAACGAAATTCCCAACACCCCCCTCTCCCGAGAGTTAACGCAAAGAACGTCAAAAGTGCACAGAAGATCGATTCGAATCAAAGCAAAAAGACGATATTGATTGCAGTCCACGTGCTTCGCGAATGGCAGATCAAAAAATTGAAAAAAATTTTTGAAAAAAGTTAATAGAAAAACTGCCAGTAATTAACATAAAAGTTTTATTCTTTATACCGTATTTTACTTTTCGTATCTACCAAAACATGCAAAATCGTTTTTAAATATTATTGATTGAAACTTCATGAATAAGATGTTTAAAAACGTATTTAAATCTTGTTTCTATACGTCAAAAGCCAATAGAAACGCAGAAGATACTTATTTATTAAACAATATATCAAGATCATTTAAAAATTTACTTAGATAATTGTTATTAAAAACTGCTAAAAATAGCAAGACATTAGCGGCCAAATTATATAGTACGTAGAACGCCATATTTTGACTTTTCTAATTGATTTTGTGCAAAATAAATAGATCATTCTAATAAGTTTGAGTTTGACCTAAAGGAGACCTACTAGGCCCGGCTTTTTTATTATACAGAAGTAAGTAGAATGGTTAAGAAATTAGACTGAGCAAAAGACGGTATGCTCAAACCTCGCCGATTTTATTTTGGCGTTTTAATATTATATATGCCAAGACATTTTTGGTGGCCGAACAATGTTTTCTTTTAAAATATTTTTAGTAGTCATTTTTGTTTTAGTGGCTTTTGGAAAAGAATTATTTAACAAATTTTCAAGATGTACCTTTTGAGCGTACTGTAACTTGGCAGCCAGGGTCATTTGTCAGTGTTTGAAAGTAATTTTACAGGTATCAATAACTTTTTAGGCTCTTTTACCTAATAATATATTTAATTTTTTCATTATAAACAGGAAAAGTCTAAATATTTTTCATTTCTGCTTAATTCTTTGCCATTTTCCAATGACATACCTATAATTTTATGCAATTCCTGAGCTCAATTTACTCTTATAAATGAGGTTTTTTAGAAATTAGCACGTATGTATGTGCGTTCTCTGTTTTCTGCCTTCCTGTACCCTCACCGTACTCTTTTGACTCTCTTTATACTGTTCTTCGGCGTGAGAACGGTTGCCACGGCACTGAAGTTTTAATAACGGCACGCTGTTCGTTTGAATGTTACATTACTCGTCGTACGTATTTGTATGTGTTTGGCTCTTGCGGGATGGGTAATATTAGTGCTTGGGTGGGGGTAAAGGGAGTGATAATTCTAGTCGAATAGGAGGAAGTAAGGTAGAGAGGGTAGGTGGGAAGAAGGAATCACAAAAAGTTTTAAAAAAATTTAGCAAAATCATAGCTTTTTTCTAATTTTTCTGCCATTTCAAGTCCTTATATGTTCAAAGTTTACATTACCGGAAGTTTAATGATAAAAATGACATTTTTTGTAAATTGCTATTACAAAGCGCTACATTTTCGAATTAGAAATGTCAAGACATTTCACTTTGATTAACCCTATATATAATGAAAGACTTAAAGGTAACCTTGCGTTCTTGAACAATGTGTTAGATTTAAACTGTTTAACTAAACTTTTTAACTAAAGACGGCCCTGCAGGGTAAAAGAGACTAATTGTAAGGATATTGCTGAGTTTTTGACAAGGTAAAGTAGGATAGGTTAGTGTAGAAAAAGAATATAGCAAAAGTTGAGTATGATAAGTTCGAGTAAGGTAGGGTCGAATAGAACAGAGCAACTTTATGGCTAGGGTTGGGTGAGGTAGAGTGGGATATAGTTGAGCAGAGTAAGATAAAACAAGGATATAGCTAAAGTAAGGTAGAGTAGGTGGTTATATTGGATAGAATGATGACTAAAGCAGGGCAGACATAGAGAGCGAGCCAAGCCTGAGCAAAACGTAAATTAGACCGGTCCTAATAAATGGGCCCGGCCCGTTCTTCATGTCAAAAGCAGGGTAGGGTAGGCAAGACCAGGCGGTAGGCCGGAGTCGGTAGAGGGGGGGAGGTCTATCAAACTGTAAATAGCATAGCACCTCCTCCTCTCCTTGGGGACCAAGTACAACTTTTTTAACATTTGTTTTGTAAGGTGGGGTTACCCTCCTTACTCGCTTGTTCCTCCCCCCCCTGTTCTTCTCCTCCCACCCCTGCCTCACTTGTTTCCCCCCCTCCCTCCTCCGCCTTTCCTCACGCCCTACTTTCAGGGTAGAGTCTGAGAACCGGCTCTTCATAAACCACAGTAACTACTAATTACTTTGGCAAACTAACTCAGTCGAACACACGTTTTTGACCGCAAAAACGTTGTGACGCACGCTCGTTTGTAGCTCTTTTAACCGTTTTTTTTTGTCGACCGTGATCTACTTTTTCTCTTTTTCTTTTGTTCTCCGGTCGAGAAAAAAATATTTTTTTTAAAAATTGGATTTAAAAATTTAAATTTTTTTTGAAAATATGGAAGAACGAGGTAGAATATATTAAGTTGGCAGTAAATGAGTAAACTACAAAGTAAAATAAAATTTTAATTTCCATTGTCTTACGAAATACGTTCTTTTTTTACGTAATCGAAAAAAATGAAAAAAGTCCTAAGGGCTTGTCGCGCGTTCTGATTTCCCATAGTTTTGCGATTCAAAAAAAGAAGAGCTTTAAGCTAGCCGTCTGTTTTCAACGTTCAGTGAAAGTTAAATTATGTTTTCAAGGGGTTTCTAATATTTTGTTAGCTTTTTTAAACTGCCCTACCCTACCCTACCCTACCCTACCCTACCCTACCCTACCCTACCCTACCCTACCCTACTTTACCCTACCCTACCCTACTCTATTCTGCCCTACTTTACCCTATCCAACTCTACCTTATCCTTCAATCAACCAACTTTTACTCTACTCTACTCTAAGTTACTTTCCTTTACTCTAGTCTTTATAAATGAGAAACTGACCGGGCCGGTATTAAGCAAAATTTAGATTGAACCGAGCTTGAAAACTTCGCCCGACCCTTACCTCATGTCTTTTAGTCCAGCTTACTCTCATTTTCACTACCATACCCTGTTTCTACTCATTTTTAGCAAGAACATCATTTGTAATAATGCCATTGTTTTTTAGACCTTATTTTAACTTTGTACTTCATTTTACTGTATATGATCTTTGATTCATCTACCTTCAGATCATGTAAATTGTTAAAAACGCAGTAGATGAATCAGCACTTTATAATCATGTCTATTAGCATAGTGCACAAGTATGTTTTGCAGTTAGTTGCCTGAGACAGTATAATATATGTATAATAAACATATTATGAAAGTAATCTGACTTTGCTATTAATATTCGCGGAACGGGATTGTTTATACAATCACGAGGAGGAATGGAGGGATTTTCAGTTTTTATGTCTACCTTTATACTTTTAAGGAAGTAAACTTGTTAGACTCAGTGAGGTAGTAACGCAAGATACCGAGACGGAGTGGGGTTTTAGTTCAATGTTTAAACGGGTTGACAATTTGACTTTTTTACAGTATAACAAATCGCAAAAAATTTTTTAAATGATTGGTTATAAAAGAGTTTTGTTATACAAGGTGCGCAAAAAGTTCTGTTACACGGTTTTTTAATCAAATATTTTATTTTACCAACAAATATAACTAAAACAACAACTAACAATAATAACATATAGTACTAGTCATAACATAGTCAATTGGTTTCGAAGTGTCCTTCCTTTGCGGCTTGGCACAAGCCTGTACATCATCTCTATATAGTGAACCATATAAGCAACTGTCTTTTTAGTAAACAAGAAATTTGGCACCGCCAGGTCAATTTGCACTAAAATGCCTCTCTGTAAAGTCAACACTCCTTATAGTAAACACAAAATGTCGGTCCCTTCGGGTTGCTTATACATTAAAACTTTTTTAAAAGCCGAGTAACAGGACTTTTGGCGCACCTTGTATTGAGTAACAGAACTTTTGGCGCGCTCTTTTAGAGGGAGTACTGTACAAGAATTCCAATGTATATAAATTTTAAGACTAAATAATTGTAAAATATTGGAGTTTTCACTGGCTCGTGCAGCATACAGTATTAAAAAAACAAGTTTTCACTATACCTACTAATGTCTATGTTTCAGCCATGTCCGACCTTGAAGAAAAGCCGGACGAAATCGTGGATGTGAGTGACGAATATCAATTGCATCAAGACGATGATAGTCAACACAATGAGGTAGACGGTATTGAGTTAGTTGTAAGTGTTGTGATTGTGGTTGGTAATGTTTTTTTATACTGTAGAACCTTTGTATAACATTTTTTTATTAATTGTAAAAAGCTCGTTTAAAACAAAAAATATTTAAAAAATTGTTATACATAGGTTTTACTGTATTTTTTATATTATTATAGTGTTAGTGTTGGTATTTACTTTATTTTTTAGTATTTTATTGTACTTTATACTCATTTTTTTGGTATTGCAGCCTGCGCCTTGTGTTAAATGTAGGGCGCGAGCTGCAAATTGTTAAATTATGTTTTAATTTAAAATTTTAAAATTTATTACATTTCATTTATATTCATGCAAATTTTGACATTTTTAATTTAAAATTTTATTTTTTTTCAAAATTTAAAAAAATTGAAATTTTTGAAATTTTTATTAAATTTTAAAATTTCCAGTTAGACGAAGTGATTCAACGACGGGATCGTGCTCAAAGTGTGAATGACATATCAAAATGTCAGGTTTTGTCATACTCGATTGGGCATTTCTACAACGATTTGTGTTCAAGCTTGTGGTTCACCTACTTGATGATATATTTGGAAAAGGTGGTCATGCTGCAACATTCATTGGCAGGATTGTTAATGTTAATTGGACAGGTATATTAGTTTTATATATTTTTTTAATTTTAGGTTAAAAAATTTTCCTACTTGCTCTTTCTTTCGTTTTAACCGGACACTGAGATTGAAACTGAGTCAAAGCCTAAGCCTGACTTAAGCCTGAGCTTGAGTTTGAGCCTGAGCTAGCCTTAGCCTAGCTTTATCCTTACCGTCAGGGCCGGGCGGGGACTTTGGGTCCGGGGGCACAGGTGTGCCGATTTTTTCCGAAAATCCACAGAACGGACCACGTTCAACTTTTTTCAAAAAATTTTTTTTTGGAGGGGGAGGGGTACCCCCGTTCCCCCCCCTCGCGCCCGGCCCTGCTTACCGTACCTTTGGTTTTATTCTAGTCTTAGTCTTTTTGTCTTCTAATTAGGCTTTACTTAGGTTTAGCCTTACCTTTAGATTTATAAAATTTTTTATTTTACTTTTATAATGGCATATTATTTTAGGTAACTGATGCCATTAGCACACCGATAGTTGGTCTGTTGAGTGACGCTTCAATTTTGCCTGGATTCTTATGCAAATTTGGACGGCGAAAGTCGTGGCATATTATTGGTATGTTGTTTATTAGTTTTTTATAGTATAAAACGTTTAAAACAGTAAAAATTTAACATTATAAACTTTACTGTAACAACACTTATTATTGTACCTTATCGTGTTTTATCTTACTTTACTTTTTCTTGCCTTTTTCTTTTCTATCCTTTTTTGTGGTTTTTTACTATACTCTATCCTATCTTTTCTTAACATAACCTACTATTTTTTGAAAAAATTACAATTTATAAACTTTTGTATTTTTAAAATGACTTTTTTTTTTAATTTAGGCACATTTTGTGTGACAATTTCATTCCCATTCATATTCGGAGGATGTTTATTATGTACTGGACATTCGATCAACTGGATCAAGGTGTTATGGTTTGCTCCGTTCATTGCTCTTTTTCAATTTGGATGGGCTGCTGTTCAGGTAAAAACTATACCTAATGACAGTAGCAAAACCTACCTTACCTTACCTTTTATTTATGTTTAGATGTGTAAAATACGTTGACTTCAACAGACGTTTTGATATATTAAACAACTTAAATATTATTTTAGATCTCTCATCTGGCCATGATCCCAGAGCTGTCAGAGAACCCAAGTCGTCGTACGTCAATGAATTCGTTGAGGAATGCCTTTGCTGTCATTGCCAACTTGACCATATATCTTGCAGTTTTCTTTTTGCTAAATGCTGATAAGGATTTAGGTATCAATCCTAATGATCTGATTCAGTTTAGGGTAGGTTAACATATCTTTGTTTTAAAAAAAAAATTTTTAATGCCATTTTAGATTAAACTAGGTGTTTTACTCCATATTTTTTAAAAGTTTAATCTTAGTCTTAGCTTGTGGCTTAGTACTAGCTTCATAGTTTTAGTTTTAAAAACGTCGGGAGACAAAATATGTTACGGTAGGAGTACTGTAACATAAAATTTTTTTTTATTTTAAAATTTTTTTTATTTTAGGAAGTCGGACTAGGAGCAGTAGTAGTTGGCTTTACTGTCACAGCCGTATTTTACCTGTTTGTGAAAGAAAAAGCGTTTACAAGAATGACATTATCAACATTGTCTCTACAATCAGATGCTTCATCACTGATTCAGATGAGCTGGAAGAACTGGTTTAGTCATATCGAGTTTTATCAGGTAATCTTATCTTACTCTACCTTATTCTATCGTACCCACCCTACCTTACCCTACCCTACCCTACCCTACCCTACCCTACCCTACCCTACCCTACCCTACCCTACCCTACCCTACCCTACCCTACCCTACCCTACCCTACCCTACCCTACCCCTACCCTATCCTGCCCTGCCCTACCCTGCCCTGCCCTGCCCTGCCCTGCCCTGCCCTGCCCTGCCCTGCCCTACCCTATCGTACCATATCCTACTTTACCCTACCCTACTCTATCCTGCCCTACTCTTTTCTACTTTATCTTACTCTACTTTACTTAACTTTATCCTACCCTTCCCTAACTGACCTTACTCTAATTTACCTTACCTTACCCTACTACTACCGCACTTAATAGCACCATGCTATATCCTACAATACTCTAAAAATATTGTTCAAGGTAGCCTTCCTGTACATGTTCTGTCGACTTTACATCAATGTAGCCCAGGTTTACTTTTCATTTTACATTACTGATGTTATGGAGTTGGAAAAGACTTATTTGGCTAAATTACCGTTGGTCATCTACATGTCATCATTTGCTGTTTCATTGCTAATGGGAGTGCCAAAGATCAACAAATTGTTTCATAAAAAGGTAAAATTTTGAAAAAAAATTAATATTTAAAAATTTCAAATTTTAAAAATTTTGAATTAAAAAAAAATTTTTTTTGAAGTTTTTAAAAATGAAAAAAATCAATTTTAAAAAATATTTAAAAACCGTATTTTAGGCACTGTTCATGCTAGCTTCACTGATTGGAGTAGCCAATGGAGTTGTTATTCATTTTAGTACTAACATCTTGTCAGTGTATGTCATTTCAATTCTTCTTGGAGTAGTACAAGCTTTACTGTTAATATCATCATTAAGTGTGACTGCTCAATTGATCAATCGGAATACTGTAAGTTCATTATAATGAGTACTGTGTGTTCATTATCTACTGAAGGCATCTGGTTTTGACTCTACCTGCCCCCCCCCCTCCTCCCTCCGTCTAACTTGGCCTCCTTAACTATTTAGCTTGATTATATTACACTTCGTTATATCCAAACAGTCCCCAGTACTTTATGAGTACGTATACCAAGTTTGGTCCTAGTTGGTTCACTCATAACCATGTTATATGGGAGGAGGGTCAAAACTCTATGCCTTCAGTGTATTAAGAGGGTAAAATACGTTTGATCCAACATTTTGACCAAAGTACAAAAAATGATACTAGCGTTAATATTTTATATAGGCTCTTACGTGTACTTGTATTTCAAAAATGGCACCGAAAACTTATTTTACAGGAAAGTGGAGCATTTGTTTACGGAGCAATGAGCTTTATGGACAAACTGTCAAATGGCCTCGTTATTCAAGTTGTACAGCTTTTGACACCGGATTGCGAGTAAGTACCAACTCTAGCTCAGAGTTCAGAGCCCTAGCCCACAGCCCTAGCCCAGAGCCCTAGCCCAGAGCCCTAGCCCAGAGCCCTAGCCCAGAGTCCTGGCTCAGAGCCCTAGTCCAGAGCCCTAGCCCAGAACCCTAGTCCAGAGTTCTAGCCTAGAGCCCTTAGCTTTAGTCTTAACCATAACGATAGACTCAGGTTATGTTAACCTTCCCGATAGCCCTAGTTCTAGCTTTAGCCCTTGTTTAAGCGTTAACTCAGCTTTATCCTAGCTTAAGCTTTCTCCTGGGTTTCAGGCTACATCTATAAAATGATCTGAAAGTTTTGTCGCTTTTGTAAATGCAAACTAGTCCAAATTGACGACAACTTTTTTATTTGACTTTTTTCTATTCTATTAAACAAAAAAATGAAAAATATAACTTTTGATGCCATTTTCAGTGTAAAAAGAGATACATCGTCGTCAGAAGCGTGTAAAGTATTCTACAAAAATGTTATGATTTATGTTCCTGGAAGCTGTGTTATCATCGTTTTCCTGATTTTAATATTTTTGAACACCAAAAAGCTTGGAGAACGGCTACGAAGGCATAACAGTGATGATGAATGTAAGTTTTGGACTTCTTTACTATCATTTTTACTGTATAATGACTATACATTGATTGCACTGTGCAAAATTTATAAAACAAGCACGGTGAAAGACATTTTAATGCCATAACATATTAATTTTAAAAACAATTTTCAGTAAGCACCTCCCATTTGGTGCCGGACCACGAGGAGATATAATACAATATAGCATTTTACTTATCTTATACATATATGGAAACTGGTCAATGACACATAGCATTCATGACTGTTGAACTACAGTAATATGCATTGTAAAACATTATCTTGATCTCATATTCAACTCGATTTTATAGCATTTTTTAAATACATATTACTAGGCTAGTCCACTTTTAAATACGTATTACTAGGCTAGTCTATTCTTTATTTTTAGTCTTTGCACGGTGCAGTTTTATTTTGGATTGCACCGTGCAAAACCTTGGTTAAATCTTGGAATGGACAAATCTTGAAAGCTTATCAGTTTAACAATTAATAAATTATTGAAAAATAATATTCGGACTTTATTTTTATCGTATTTAGTAAAATTTTATGTTTAGAACCAAAATTGGCGCTAATACGACACTTTTAAAATCATTAAATTTTACTGCACGGTGCAACCACGATTTTTTTATATGGCTTTGTGCAAAGTTTCAACGTTCTTCCCCTAGCTCTAGCTCTAACCCTAGCCCTAGCCCATCAAAAAGCCGTCATTACAAAGAAGACGTCGCATTACCAAGAATCATACTAAAGAGGTTTCACTGTATAAGAAGACAGTAGTAAATAAAAGGTTAAAAAATCAATTGAAACATGAGAAAAGTGTTTTAATAGCGTAAAATAGGGTTTTTCTCCATTGACCACTTCACTTTTTGTGGTTTCGTCGCTCAAAACACGCGTTGATAACGAAGAGAGTAAACCATTCGTTCTCTTTGAATAAATTACTTTTTAGCTACTTTTTATTAATTAAAATATTGAGATTTTTTAAATTCAATAAATTATTCAGTTCTTTTTCTCTGCCGCGTATTTTACAGCTTAACTAAAAGGTTTTTATATTTTAAGCATTTTAAATCTTCAACTAAAATCTAAATTTCCAGCCAAATGACAGTGTTCAGCCGATTCTTAGAAGCGGCTGGATGCACCACAGTTTATGCACAGTGCAATGAATTGACTCATCCTTGGAATGACTCTTGTGTTGGTGCCATTGCCGATGTAGTACCACGTAGTTTAATATTTTCCTTCAAAACCTACGCTACATTTTATGCCTTTGCCTATGCTTTCAAAGTTGCCAAAGGCAAGAATTTCAAACCCGATCAGTATTTGAAAGACATTGTGAGATCGACGGTTTTTTTGACCAGTAATATGTGCATCTACTTTTACATTTCTTGTTTGTTGAGGTAAGTATTTTACATATTTTTTTTGATTTTAGATTGTTATAGTCAAAAGTCACGCATTGTCTACTATTTTTAATTTAAAAACTTTTTCACAATATGTTTTTTAATTTCAGAAAATTTTTTTGGATGCTATTTTTGGTCGTCGTACTATATAGCTGGTATGCTTGGATCATATTTATCCATTATACAAGAGTCCAAAAAGAGAAGACCTGTTTTAGCGCTTTACTTAACAAATCTGGTAAGACTTGACCCATTTCGCGGTAAAACACTTGACAAACCAAAAATATTTTTCTTTTTTCTGAAATATATTTTAGTTTTACAAAGTTCTTGCGCCCTTTTAACAAACAGAAATAAGGTTTTCATTGTATTAATAATGGCAGAAAGTTAAATTGGATCTATTTGACAACGGAAAGAGTACTTTCCTATACCAATTGATGTTACCTTCAAAATCTTTTTCAGGCATCAGAATCTCTGTTTTATCAATTAAGAGACCGTGGTTATGTTAAAAACATACCAAATGGCATTCCTTTACTTTTTGCCATTGGGTTGGGCTTGTTGTTTTACTTTAAAGGCAAAGGTATATCGTCTGATATGCATGGTATCTTGAGTGCTACTCATTCACTGAATGATAATGACAAACTACCATTTTTGGACAGATTACCTGATGGTATTCGAAATGTGTTCAACGACTTGAGGAATAGCTATTCTAAAGGACATCATTGTTCTCATAAACATAGTTGTGCTAGCAATGTTGTTGAGGTAAGCCTTCGCTTATTGTTTTCATTATTTAGGTTTTTATATCAAGCGAAGCACGATTTAAACCTGCTTATGATACTTTAATTAGTTGTCATGGAGTGTAAATAAAAATTTTCAGTCTTCGCTAGTCAACTTCAAGTATGGTCTGGGCCTGTCATTTGTGCTAACAGCTATAAAATCAATTTCAAATCCGAAAAACTTTGTCAAAAACTTACTTTCCACAAAGACTTTGGCTTTACCTGCATTTTCTGCTTTAATGCCTGGAATTTATCATGTAAGTCTTTAAATATAGTTTTTCGTATAAGATGAAAACATTACGTTTTTTTAGATTTTATACGTATTAGCATCTAACATCAAAAGATGAAGAAAAACATAAATTTATATATTTTTAGACAGTAAATTGCACGCTAAGAAGAAACACAAAATTGTCACATACCACGGTGACAACAGTAGCTGGATTTTCTTCTGGAGCTGCAATGTTGGCATGGCCTAACATTACAATTGCTATGTACATATTTTGGAAAGCCATTGAGGTAACTGCACTATTCAAAAACTTTTCTTTTACTGTCGTATCCTACAAAAACCTATTGTCGAAACTTACAAAGGCATTCTTATAACTTTTACGTTGAAATTTGTGTTATACGCAAAAAAGTGCACATTTAATTTAAAAAAAAACCTTTTAGAGAATCTACCATTTAATGGCGGACAAAGGCTATTTGCCGCGGTTCAAAAACGGTGACACGTTGCTTTATTCTATTGTTACTGGATATATTGTGGGTAATTGTATAGTCGAACCTCATGCATTACGACCAGCGTACTATAACAGTTTCATAAGAGGGTTGACAATCAATCAGTAAGTATATAACGCCTTTAATTCAACACACTTTACTTTACGCTTAAAAAAAACAAAAATAACCTTTTTTTGAGTTATCATATATAGATTTGTTCTTTTAAAATTTTAATTTAGTATTGACTACGTTAACCGTTCGTATCTCCGCCCCTTTGGGTTTGATTCAGATCGTCTATATCGTCAAAAAGCTAGTGTAATTAATGTGATGACAAAACTTAAAGGAATTAGTTTCGAAATTGGAAGTCATTGAGATTTTATCAAAGAATAGTATTGTGACGTACAAATACTTGTACTACGTTTTGTAAATAAACTTTTTACAAATCTTTTGTATTTACGAGACGTTTACTGTTTTAAAAACAGAAGTTACTTATCTACTGTAAAACTAAGATTTTTTTGTATTTTACATTGCGTTGCTGAGAAACAATGTTACTGTAATGACTAAATGCCGCGTGAATAAGCCATTTTAAAAATTCTAACTTAACGTTTTTAGATACAAAGGGTATACAAGACCTACAGTGATCTCAACACGAATAACTTAGTAACCCCAACATATCAACATTAACCATGAGTTCAAAATCAAAGGCCAAAGATTCTAAAGCTAAACAACAAGATAAAAATCAACCAGCAGCTCCACCCGCTCTAACTCCAGATTTTCCTGGTTTAGTTTCAATAGAAGCGTTAATGAGAGAAAGTGGCATTCAAGAATGGGACAAAGGAGTATCATTTCAAGTACATGATATGGCAGTTCAAATGATAAAGAATATTGTAAATACAGCTGAAAGTGTAAAGGAACACAGAGAAGGAAAAACTGTTGATGAGGATGATTTGGCCGCTGCTATTGATTCGTTTCGTGAGTTTTAAAAAGTACTCTACTCTACTTTACTCTACCTACACTACATTATCTTATCTTACCTTATCCTGTCTTATCTTACACTACCTTGCTCTACATTACCCTGATTCATCTTGCCCCTCTTTACTCTACCCTACCCTATTATTAAACATCTGTTACAACTTTTCAGGTGAATCGCTAGCCGAAAAACCTCTAGATGAAGCTGAAGCAGTAAAAACTAAAGTACATCATGTTAACGCTATACCTCTGCCAACCGTAAAGCAAGATTATGGCTATCATTTACCGGCCGAACGGTACCTACAACTTCAATCCGACTTCGTGCTTAAAGATGACTTTGAAGAAAGTATACGAAATGCTTTGGCATCAAGCTACGAGACCTCATTCCCTCCACCACCAACTAAAAAACCTCATATGGATACAAAAGTCAATGTACAACATGTTCAACATGCTCCACGTATAGTGCGTCCACCTCCATCCGAAAACACTGGAACATTTCGTATTACTGTATCTTCTAATCCTGCTACAGTACCCACAAGTTATGTTCCTGTTCAACAAGGTCAACCACAACCGTATGTACAGTACTATAGCGCTGAGAGGCAACAAGTAGTACAGATGAACATGGGGAGGGGTAACTTGGTACAACAGTCAGTGTCTGAGACAGAGGAGAATACTGTAATGCAAGCTTTTCAAACCGAGTCTGATGGTAACACTGATTTTGATTAACGGTTTATATTTGACTTTTGTTTTGTAGTTTTTGTATTTCTACTGATCTACTACTACAATGTAGTCTACTACAATATACTGTATTATCTTTCTGTACAAATCCGAATAAGTGATAGCCAATTTACTACAGTAAAACTTGATCTTTTGTCTAAATTGTTACGTTCTTCATTTGTTGCAATAAATTATTTGATCTTATTAACAAAAATCACTCGATTCGAAAAAAGTAATGATAAGGAAGCGGGAAAGCAAAAGTTGTATGATCTTAAAATGGCATGATCGTTTTAAAAAAGGCGTGTTAACCGCAAAGTACTGCGTCAGAAGTTGAATTCAAAGCGATTTTTGCTTTGTAAAATACGTCCAACGTTTGGGCTCCTAGTACTATTTTAGATTAAGTTTTATTTTCTGGTACTAATTTTTTTTACGTATTACTTTGTGGTGCTTTACAGTACGTACAAGTTATATTTTACATAACGGGTCTGTAATTTGTACAATTTTGTTGTACCTGCTATAACTATAACGTATGATAGTACCTACTCATACTACTATACTTTATTATACATGCTATATTACAGCACGCAGTACTAAAACTATAGTTCACAGAACAAAGTACTAATTAAAGTAATAATGTCAATTCTAAGCAAACTACAATCATCTCTAAATTTTACCACAGTAAATCACTCTTGTCACCAATTAACTCACCCATGGAACCCATCTTGTGTTGGAGCTGTTGTAGATATTCTGCCATTTGCTTTCAAGAACTCTTTTAGAACTTATGTTACTTTTTATGGTTTAACTTGTGTGGTAAAGTTACTAAGAGGAAGAAAAGTCAACAAAAGACAAACGATCAAAGATATATTGAGATCTACAGTGTTTTTGGCTACAAACTTCTTGGCTTTTGTTTATGCTTCGTGTTTGTTAAGGTAAAATACGCCACTGTGTTTTCTTGGTGTTTTAGCCGTAGCCTTAGATTGAACCTGTGCCTGTGCACGAACTTAGCTTTAGTTTGATCCAGAGATTAAGTTTAAGCCTCGGCTTTATTCTTAGTGTTAGCTACAGTCTCAGTTTATAAAAAATTCATAATTCCGATTGTCAGTAAAACGTTTTTTAGAAAACTGTTTGGATGTTATTTCTGGGGCTCATACTATGTTTCAGCCGCTATCGGATCGTTTTTAGCTATAATACAAGAAAGTAAACATAGACGGCCTGCCCTTGCTTTGTACTTGACTAATTTGGTGAGTTAAAACTTATATCTTACTATACCTTTGTCATATCCTTACCCTACACTTCTTTTACCTATGCACTACTTTTTCTTTACCTTAGCCTTATTTTTGCTCTACCTTGGCATTTCTCCTTTCCTACTCTTGCTCAACTCTTGATTTATTCTTGTCCTACCCTTGGCCTGCCTTTGCTTTACCTTTGCGCTACCCTGGTCATACTCTTACCATACCCATATTCTATTTTTGCCCTACCCTTTACTTACCCTTTTTCTACTCTTGCTCTACTCTTGCTTTGTCCTTGCTCCACCCTTGCTTTACTTTTGCCTGACTTTGGCTTTACTCTTGGCCTATCCTATCTATACTCCAACCTTACTCTTTCTTTATATTATACAGGACGCGCCAAAAGTCCTGTTACTTATATTATACCGAGCGCGCCAAAAGTTCTGTTACAAACCTTTACTGGTCGTTTTCTCTATTTACTGTACAAAAGAGCAATTATATTTATTAAAAATATGCATTTTTCAGGCTTCAGAATCCCTGTTCTATCAACTAGAAAACCGGCATTACATTTCAAAGGCACCTAATGGTCTAACTCTTCTTTTCTCAACAGCTTTGGGGATATTTTTTCACTACAAAGCAAAGGGGGTTAAAACTGATATGGATGGCATATTAAACTTGACTCATAGTTTAAAAAAGCATAATACCAAAGATGCTAGTTCGAAAATTGAAAAAATGCCAAAGTTTATAAAAGACTTAGTTTGTAAAATACGCAATTGTCCGAAGGGTTATGACAAATGTATTCATCAATATAGCTGTGTTAGCAATGTTTTAGAGGTATGTCATGAAAATTTATGTTTTAGAGGTGTGTTATTTTTTTGTGTTTGCAATTAATGGCGTATTTTACAATAATATTTTATATTTTTTAATTTTTAGACAAGTATGACAAATTTTGGGTACGGTATGACAATTACAGTACTTTTGGCCACTTTTAAAAATATGAACAAACCTTTAAAAGCCTTTAAAAAACTTATCAATGTCAAGAGTTTAGCTTTGCCTACGTTTACTGCTTTAATGCCTGGGATTTACCATGTAAGTCACTATATATTGAACTTTTTGCTACATATTTTGACAACGTTTACTTCTTCCGTCATTCATTATACGTTTACCAATGTGAAATTAAAAAAAAGTTTTAAAAATTTTATTTTCAGACAATAAATTGTTTGTTAAACAACTATACGTCATTATCAAAGTCAATTTCTATGCCGACAGCTGGAGCTGCTTCTGGGGCTGCTATGTTGATATGGCCAAACCTGACGATCTCTACTTACTTCTTATGGAAGGCTTTTGAGGTGAGTCTGTATAGTTCTAACTTTAGCGTGGTCGTAGCCATAGCCATATTTACGATAATCTAACTTTAAACGTATGTCAATCTTATGTTGAGTAAATACAACAGGGATAATGCAAACGTACTTTACAAAAAAAATTTTTTTAGGTAATATATCACAGAGCAGCGGACAAAGGATATGTGCCTAGATTTAAAAATGGAGATATCTTGTTATATTCGATTGTTACTGGCTACATTGTTGGTAACTGTATAGTCGAACCACATGCTTTAAGGCCGAGCTATTACTTCAAATTTATTCGAGGATTGTCCAACAATTAGTGAGTTATATTTTGATATTTTATTCCTTTTTCTTCCGGCTCGAGCTCCGGCTTCGCTTTTTTAATTTTAACTTTGGCTTTAGTTCCAATGCCTTGCCGGAGCCGTCTTGAAACCAGAGTGGGGCTGGAGCACTGCTAAAGCTAAGGCCGGAATCAGAGCTGAACCAAAGTTAAGCTGAATCTGAGCCGAAGCTGTGACCTGCTTGAGGTGGAGCCGTTTCGAAGCTACAGCTAAAGCAACGGCTGTGCTGGAGCTATTCCAGAGACGAAGCAGTGCCGGAACTGTGCTGAAGCTGGAGCTGAACCGTACCGGAGCTAGCAAATTTAAAATTTTTAAATAAAAACTTTTTAGTTTCGATTACGTTGATCGAAGTCTACTACAACCGTTTGGCTTTGATTCGGATCGTCTGTATCGTGAAGGTAAAATCATTGTCAAAGATTTTAGCCAACTCAGCGGAAGCTCAATGTAAATTATTTTTTATGGTAGTATACATGTATATTGTTCTAAACGGTTAAATATGATAAAGAACATAATGAAAGCCTTAGCTTTAACCAGAAAAAAACCTCATGAAAAATTAAAGAATTCTTTTTAAACAAAAATACGCGTTGTTTTCAGGTAATGAATTTATTACTTTAAAAGTTAATGAAAATTAGTTTTAAAAAGTTACGAAAATGAACAATATTAAAGTACAGAACAAGATGATTCATATAATGTCATATTTAAATTATATTATATGAACCCTTTATAAAGGTAAGTTAGATACTTTAGCGATGTTGAGGGTTGATTGGGGCAGTAAAAGCTTCCGCTACCATTGGCCGGTTTCTAAACAAAATTTTAATTTTTATAAGAATTAAGTGTTCAAAAAGGCTAGTTTTTGTATTTTGTTACCCAAAAAACTTTAAATTTTAACTTTTTTTCAAATTTTTAAAATTTAAAATTTTAGTTTAATAGAAGTCCACAAATACCCGAAGAAGTTGTTATAGTACAAGAGATTTATTAATTGTACACAAGCAAAGTGTATAAAGTTAATTAGAAGGTATTACTCTAGAAAAACTTTATTTCTGTTCTTCTTGTTTGAAACGATCTCCTTTGTCCATGGTCAAGGCTCCAGCACCCAAGCCAAAACCCACGCCCTTTGGGCCGTATTTGCGACCATGACATTGTTTACAATACAACTCGGCGTCGTGCTCGCAACAATTGGTGGAATCCAACAACTTGTTACACATGTCTGGAAGGGAAGAAGGGTCAAAATGTATCGTTAAAGTAGAAAATGGAAATTTGAAATTAGTTTTTAAAAACATGGCCCTAGTCCTAGCCCTAGCCTAAATCCCTAGCCTAAAGCCCTAGCCTAAAGCCCTAGCTAAAGCCCTAGCCTAAAGCCCTAGCCTAAAGCCCTAGCCTAAAGCCCTAGCCTAGAGCCCTAGCCTAAAGCCCTAGCCTAAAGCCCTAGCCTAAAGCCCTAGCCTAAAGCCCTAGCCTAAAGCCCTAGCCTAAAGCCCTAGCCTAAAGCCCTAGCCCGGAGTTCTAGCCTAAAGCCCTAGCCTAAAGCCCTAGCCTAAAGCCCTAGTTTAAAGCCCTAGCCTAAAGCCCTAGCCTAAAGCCCTAGCCCGGAGTTCTAACCTTAGCGCTGTTCTAGGCTAACCTTATTTTACTCTTTCATACTCTACTCTCTGTCGTGATTCTTACCTCACCTCCGTTTATTTTACAACAGGTTACTGCATCTACTCTTACCCCCCCCTAGCCTTTTTTTATTTCTCTCTTTACCCTAACCTTACTTTGCATGCACTATTGTGTACCCTACTTTTCTATTTTCTACTATACCTTTATATAGCTTATTAAAAGGCAAGAATACTTTAATTTTGTGTTAGAAAACACGGTTTATAATGCATTACAGAAAAAATAAAAGTTAAAAACACGGCTTGTTAAGTTAGCACAGAAAGTTAATATTAAAGCACATAATCAACAAGGTCAATAACACCATAGCAAACGTAGAAAACAAGTAAAATTTTCAATTTTTAAAAAAATTTGTATCAGAAACTAAATTTTTTAAAACGAAACTTAAATTTTATCACCTAAACATAAAAACTCAAAAAACTAACGTCATTTCCACCTCCTTATTGCCAAACTTGGCTCCAGTATCCATAGACAAAGCCCCAGCACCGATCCCGAAGCCAATGCCTTTAGGGCCAAACTTGCGTCCGTGACATTGTTTACAGTAAAGCTCACTCAAATGCTCACAACAGTTGGTCGAGTCCAACAACTTGTTACACATGGCTACAAAAAGACGGTACAGTATGAAACAGCAACAATACTGTAGACGGAAAAGCAAAAAAAAGTTACAGTAACAAAAATGCAGTAATTTTAAAAGCAAAAATGTTATAAATACAGTAGAATTCTTGTATTAGGTATCCTAATTATAAACTTCCGCTGACTTTTACAAGTTATAACTTTTGTGAAAATTAATATTATTTGACAGGATTTGTTTTGTTTTGTAGCTTGTTTCAATGCAAATCGAACGATATATAATACTTGTCTGTTTGTCTTTGTCTACTTAGAAAAATCTGGGTAAAAGTTGGCTAAGCTCAGTTTGGAGGTGCGATATCGCATGCGACTATGTATTTAAACAAGGTAAAAGTGCTATTGGATGCCACCGTACGTTTGCAGAAGTTTTTGGAGAAGACGTTATAAGTGTTAGACGTGTGCAGACGTGGTTTTCAAAGTTTCATACTGTGAACCTTGACCTTGTGGACAAACAACACAAACGAGGTCCTGAAGTGGCAGATGCCATCAACTGATTGAGTTAAATACTAATTTAGCAACAGTGGAGTTGTCGCATATTCTTCCCCGTACCTCGCAAACCATCGCCAATCATCTTCACAAACTAGGAAAGCTCAACAAAAGTGGCAGGCGGGTGCTCCACGAACTCAGTGATTCCAACATGGCGCTAAGGATCAATACTTGTGATATTTTGTTTCGCTTGTCCAAAACCCGAGGTTTTTTTCAACTAATTATTACTTCGGATGAAAGCTGGATAATGTACGATATAAAGAAGGTCAAAAGACAATAGATTGATATTGGTTCAAAAGCTGTATCTACTCCGAAACCTGACCATCATGGTAAACAAAACCTTCCGTTGCGTATGGTGGTCTACCACGGGAATAGTGTACTACGGGTTTCTGAAACCTGGATAAATAATTACGGCAGATGTCTACAATGAACAATTGAAACGAATCAACCATGCTCTCTACTTTCTGGGTATTGATATTTCCACTGTGAAACTTTGACAAGATGCCGCTCGAACTCACAGTGCGAAGATGACGTCATAAGTTCTTGGTGAATTGAGCTGGACTATAATGCCTATACCGCCCTACAGTCCCGACATTGCTCCTTCTTATTATCATGTATTCAGAAGGCTGAAAGGTCGCATTGCTGGAATCAATTTCAAAAATGGCGCTGAAGTCATGTTATAGGGTAAGATTTCTTTAAGACACAGCTGAGGTAGTTCCACAGTTCTGGCATTCATCTTTTTTTTGAAGGAACGTTGTAGAGAAAGCATAGACAATGTTAGAGTATATATCTCAGAATAATTAGCTTTGTTTTGGTTGGTATAATAAAAATAAGTTTGTTAAAAAATGGAAGTTTATAGTTAGGATACCTAATATAATAACTAACAAATCATAGTCCAAAGCCCTAGCCCAGAGCTCTAGCCCAGAGCCCTAACCCAAAATCCTAGCCCAGAGCCCTAACCCAGAGCCCTAGCCTACTGTAACAATAAAAAACACAAAACAAGCAGCACACCGCACTACTACAATATAATAAACTTACTGCATTTGAAGCAGAATTTGTGCCATTTGTAGCCACCAGCCAACTTCTCTTCGGCCGCGTACACACTCTTACCGCATTTGGGACACTTGGCCTGAGTTGGAGGTTGGAAGGGCATCTAGAAATGGTTTCGTTTTAATAAATACAAAAATTTGAATTAAAGTTTTGTCGCGAAAATAAATTAAAAACGTTTAAAACTTCACTGAATACAACGTTAAACCTAATTCTGTTATACTTAAGACTTTTTAACACCTAAAGTAAGAAGTTAAAATAAGATCAGGTAAATCTAAAACAAAGTAGGTCTGGGGCAAGGATAAGGTAAAACGATAGTAAAACATAATAAAAGCAAAAACAAAGATAAAATACGACTAGTATATGGCTAAGGTAAAGTGTTTACAGCTAAGACAAAGCTAGGGTAAAGCGTTTTAAACTCAGACACTGTTACGGTAAAGCGTTTTAGCTTTAGACAGTGCTAGGATAGAACGCGTTAGGCTACGGCAGACCTAGGGTAAAGAGTATAAGCACAGCCATTATTAAGTTAACGCGTTTTAGCTTTAGACAATTCTAGAATCGGACGTGTTAAACTAAAAGTAGATATAGGATAAGACTTTTTAGGCTCAGGCACTGTTAAGCTATGGCGTTTTAAGTTTAGACAAGGCTGGAGTAGTGCGTGTTAGGCTATAGTAGAGCTAGAGTTGGACGCAGGGCCGGGCGCTGGGGGGGAGGAATTTAGAAAAAAAGTTGAAGGTGGTGCTCCTAGTGAATGTTAAAAAAATTTTTTTTGCAAAAAATCGGCGCCTGTGTCGTTTTTTTTCGACTCTCGCCCCGGACCAAAAGTACTCATTCGGTCCTGGTTAGACGTTTTAGAATTCGACAGAGCTATTGTATGGCGTATTAGCTAAAGATAGAGCTTGATTAAAGCGGTTTAAGGTATTTAAAATAGAACGAGTAAAGCACTGGTTAGGAACGGTAAAGTAGCATTATAACTAGACAATTTTTTCATAAACTTATTTTGCTTAAAACAACGTATTTTACATTATACTAACTTCAACTAGACGTAAAACGTCATTTATAACTGAATATGTTTTAAAAATTGAAAGTAACTACTATAAAGTCATTATCGTAGTCATATAATACAAAAATTAAGAAAACCATTTTCTGAATACTTCTGAATTAAACAAGAAAGAATAACAACAAATCATAATTCAGAATTGTTCTTATTGATTGTGATTCAGCAAATTACGATTTTGTGAAAATAACAAGTAAGTAAGGCTGTAAAACCAAAATTGGCAAACGTACAAAAAGAAATTAAGCAGTATTACTAATTGTGCAATCAAGGTTTTGTAAAAATGACGTTCTAAAATTGTAAATCTAAGAAAACTTTAGTAAAAATTATGAAAAGACGAAATTTTGTTATCAAAGCAATAAGTCATAAAATTAAAAAATGACGTTTTTCAGCTTATACTTTTGATAATTTTCTTCGTTCACAAACTGTGACCACAAGTTTGTTTTAAAGCAGTGTACTAACCTAATAATAATATTACTCTAGCCATTCCCTAGCTCTAACTTAGACCTGAACTAGCTCTATGTACTTTAGCGTTATATTGGTCTTACTTTTAGCTCAGCCTCGGCCATACTATACCTGTTTTAGCGTTGCTCTAGCCCTAGCAATAGCCCTAGCAGCATTGGCCATAACAAAAAATTGCCCTCGCTTTGTCTCAGCATTTCTCTAGTTCTACCCTGCCCTAGTTCTACTACAGTCCTACGCGATCTACCCTAATCTTCCACAACCTTACCCTCGCGTCGCATATAAATAAACCCTAACCTAGGCATACCTTCTTCCTAGAAAAACCGCTTCAAACCTATTCTACACTACTTTACCATGCTCTATCTTACCTTACTCTACCCCACCACAATCCACTATTTAAAAAGTCAAGAAGCTTTGCCCAAATATTTTTTAAATTTTAATTTTCTTCACAATTTCAAACTTTAGAAGTTTAGAGCTAGAATTCCAATTTTAAACCCAAACCCTTTGGCTTTTGTTAACCTTTCGAATGGCCAAACGGCCGAGAGAATGACCGATCGAATGGCAAATAAAATAAGAAAAAAAGCATTTGTTCTGCCACATATTGTCTATTAAAATCTGTCTATAAACTTTGACACAGCTGGTCTAACCTCCAGTAAAATATCTCAAATTACTTTACAATGTTCTTACAAAAAATTTAAAATTTTATAAATTAGGTAATAAAATTAAATTTAAAAACTATTTTGAATAAATTTTAAAATAAAAAAAAATATATAGTTTAAATAAAGCACAATCAAAAGCCAAATGTCAAAGATTATAAAATTTTGGAAAACTGGCTTTAAAAACGTTGAAACGAGACTGACTCACATCTGTTCTCAGGTTTAGGGATGAGTCAGCCTTCTTTACATGGCTGTTAATTCGTTTTTGACCAGCTTTACCACCCTACCCTACCCTACCTTGCTTTTCTTTACCCCACCTTACCATATCTTGCACTACATTATCATATAATATCTTACCTTCTCGCCTTCCCCCTCTCTTCTACCCAACCCTATCATACCTTACCATACCATGCCATACTATGCACTACTGCATTCTACCTTATCATACCCTGCCATATCATACCGTATAGTACTCTATCCCCACTACACCGTACCCTATAGTACGTACTGTAGAATAAACTTCCTTATTCTAATCATATCTCAGCTCTACCCCAATATTACTCATGCCCTTGCCCTTACTTTTACTCCTATTCATAGCTTCCTCTATATTTATCTATACTCTAGCTTTACGCTGATCATATCTTAGCACTGGCCAAAAAAAAATCATAAAAACTGTTCAATTTACTCAGTAAAACACAAGATACCACAACAAATTAGCCAAGATAAAAGAGTAGCCTCAAAACGTCCCCTCCCCTCGAAAACAAATAAAAGATCAGGGAAGCGGATCGGCCGTTCAGTGACAGCCGCCGTCCACAAAGCCCGTTTATCCTCCGGGCAAATTCAAGTCGTTTTTTCGCTTCGGCCGAACAAACAGACGTTAAGTGGGGGTTGAGCGACAAACAGGTGGCTGGAGACGTCAAATATTTTGTGAATCAGAACAGACGAACATAATGAAGAAAGAGGTGAGGCGTGGATAATATCGATCATAATGAAGAAATAATGAAAATTGGCGTGAAGTGCATAATATGTAATAAAGAAATGAAGCGAGTGGTATGATTCTTTGTTGTCTTAAAGCCTTAGTCTGAGTTTAAGCCTAAAAGTTAGCTGGAGCCTGAGCCTGAGCTTGAGCTTGAGCTTAAGTTTGAAACTAAGTTTAAACTTGATCCTAAGCATAAGAGTAAGCTTAAGCTTAAAATTTTGCTTAAGCTGCAGCTTGAGCCTAAATTTAAGCTTGAGGCTTAGCTTATGATTTGACTTAAAATTGGTGCCGAACCTGAGCCGGACCTTGAGCATAAACTTGTGCCCGTGTTTAAAGTAATCCTTAGTTTCAGCCTGAGCCTGGGTTTGAGCTTTAGCTTGAACCTGAGCCTGAGCCTGAGCCTGAGCCTGAGCCTGAGCCTAAGCTTAAGCCTAAGCTGGAGCCTGAGCCTGAGAATAAGCCTGAGCTTGAGCCTGAGCCTAGGCTGGAGCCTGAGCCTGAGCCTGGACTTGAGCCTAAGCCTGAGCTTGAGCCTAAGCTTAAACCCAAGCATAAGGCAGAGCTTACTCTGCAGAGTCTGAGCCTGAGCATGTGCCTTAGAAAAAACACGTTAATAATCCTATCGTATTACTGTAACAAAATCAAATTTATTTAATTTGAATATTGATAGTTTGAGCAGATGAAAAAGTTTTAATTTCAAAGTAGTTCAACTCGTATGACAAAGATCCAACTACAATGAAATAACCAACCGCCAGCGACCATTCACAAATTCGACCAACAATAAAGTTTGTGTAGTACTGAAAATAACACTTTTAATTTTAAATAATAAATAAAAAGCGACGTTGAACTCTGTTATACTGGGGTCTAGCTACTGCTATAGCCATAGCCACAGTAATAGCCAGCGGCTGAGCCTGAGTTTGAGCCTGTAGGTAAGACTGAGACTAAATTAGAGCTGAAGTATAAGCTTGAGCCATGCTGAGACTAAACCTGAGAATAAGCTTAATCTTGATCTTGAGGTTGAGTTTTAGACATAACCGTAAGCATAACTTCTAACCTAATTACTTTTTACAATGCATAATCTCCCCTACCCTTGATCTATCACAACTTTAAAAATAAAACGACTTACTGGGCTTTCAGGATCCAATCGTAATATATTAGTTGACTTTGGCCAAAATGGTACTGGTGGTACATGTCCATCAGGTGTTCGTTTCACCAAAAATGTTGTATGAAGACATATTTCATCTATAACATCAACATAACCATCTACCTGGATCTAAACCTACGTAAAACCACCACAATTGACACAAAAATGATCAACAGAAGCCTAAAGATGAGCAGCTTTTTAGGTATGACTTTGGGCTTCAGAATCTTGACCAAAGTAATATAACACCAAGCATAGATAACGCCAGACAAAAAGCCAACCATAGCACCATAACTATGCACAGGCCGTACTGTACTCAACGGAAAGTTGGCTACTAGTGCTATTCCAATGCCAGATAAAATGGCAAAGAACAGCATGACATAGAGTACGTTCTTGTGCTTGGTATGGAAACGATCGTGGTACATAATGTGTTGCAGTACTTGAATGTGGATGCAAAAGCATGTGAGAATCCCTGAAAATGTAAATTTTTATTTTATGTCAATTTAAAATGGCAGAAAACTTTGAAAAACTATAATTTTTAGCCATTTTTTGCTTATTTTTGACTTATTTTTACCATTTTTAATCGATAAAATAAAATTTCTAACGTTTTCGTAATGAAACTTACAAAAAAAGACACATATGTTCAATAACAATCCGAAGACACAACTTTCTGGTGGTATAGCACCTCCGTCACTAATCAAAGGCAGCCATTTGTCTACATGATCATTCAGAACAGCTATAATGTAACTAAGCAAAACTATTAAATTTAAAATGATTTTTTTGTAAAATACGAAAAACGAATTTTAATAATAAAATTTTTACCCAGTAAACAACGCCGTTATACCAAAAATACTACACAATATAGGAAATATTGGAGTCCATATCTTGGTGATTGGCGAAGCATAGACAATATTATTGCTGGCTGATTCTATTGGGGTCACATTGATCTTTACCATCTAGCTAAAATGACGTTTTTTTTTCATTTTAAAATTTTTTTACAGAAATATCCTTAGCCCAGAGCCCTAGAACATAAAAATGGAAAACGGGCCGGGCCGGCCAAGCTCAATTTTTTTAGCAGACCAAGATTTCTGGAACTTTTTGGGCCAAGCTGTAATTTTCCGAGATTTTCAAGCCCGGCTCGGCTTAAATTTTGCTTAGGCCCGACCCGGTCAGTTTCCCATGTCTATTAGCCTAGAGGCTAGCCCGAGAGCCCTAACCCAGAGCCCTAGCCCAGAGTCCTAGCCCAGAGCCCTAGCCCTATTAATTACAATAATATACTGTATTTAAAAGTAAAAATGTAAAAATAAATAGTAAAGCTAATTGTCTCGCCCTCAAAAACTTATTTTCCTTCAAAAAACAGGAAAAAACTACGCTTACAAATAACCTTTCTTTCCGTCTGTGATTACCTTGTTTATTGCAAATCGAATAACGCGCGTGTTCGAAAGTCATTTGGCTAGCAAAAAAACGCAATACGCCAATTTTAAGTCAAAAGCTAACTTTTTTTAGTTTTTTTACGTTTTTAATTCATTCTACCCTACCCTACCCTACCCTACCCTACCCTACCCTACCCTACCTTACCCTACCCTACCCTACCCTACCCTACCCTACCCTACCCTACCCTACTTTACCCTACCCTACCCTATCCTATACTGTCTAATGTTAGCCTACCCTATCCTTTCTTATCTCTCCCAGCCTGATACTAAAGGTGGAGCCCTGAAGCCTTAGATTAGACCGGGCACATCGCTTTTAAATCTGCTGCGGTTTGGCCCAGCTCAACCGGACCGGCCCTACTAAGCCATCTTTCACGCATAGTTGCTCTATTCTACAAAAATATCGAAAAAACATGATTATGGCCTGATGTTTTGAAGAAAAAGTTTGAATTTAAAAAGCACTGTTTTTATAAATTTAAAAACAAGCCAAAGCAGTAAAATCATCACGTTGTGATCTTTGACATTACAATTGTTATGCTTTTTAATATAATAGCAACATTTAATTTTCAAAATATTTTTTAATTTGTTGTAGCTATACCCAGAGGTAGCGAGGTACAGCTACAAATTACTACTTGTGCCGATTTTGCCAACCCCGCCACCAAACCAAAAGTGCTCAGACGCCCCCTGGCTATACCTCCTATTTTTAAGTTAGGGGTAGAAAACGGAGCGAGCAGATCTACATTTGCAGCCCCGCCTGTGTCTGAAGATCAAACTTTAAGCCCGGCTTGACCGTAAAACTAGGCTAGGTTGAGCTTGTTACTTATGTCTACTCCTTCTTTTGTAACTCTTCTATAGTATATAATTATTTTTTACTTCTCTTTAAAATTACCCTCCTCCTATTCAAAATTACCCTCCCCCCCCCCACCCAGTTTAAAACCCCTGCTCAAGATATTCTACAAAATATTTAAATTGCAATGACATTTATTAATCAAAAACAGCATTTTTTCAAAATTTCAATAACATTTCGAGCAAGTTTAGGCAAGAGTTCCATTGATAATCAAAGGAATGGTTTTTTGGGCAGCTGGGGTTTTCAAAAGATCAGCTACTTCAGGGAACACCAACTTCAAGTTGTCTTTGACTTTAGGCTCCAAACCCAAAATCAGCTTCAGAGATTGCTTCAGGGCTTCCTTGTTGATTCCCAGGAGCTAAAATAAAATTTTTTTTCAAATTTCAAAGTAAAAAATTTTTAAATTTCGAAACAATTTTAAAAATTAAAAAAATTTTTTTTTGTCAAAAATTTGAATTTTTTTACCCCTGCCATCCCTAAAACTACATTTTTTACCTGAGCGAAAAAGTTCAGAGCTTCTGGAGACAGTTTTTCCTTCTTCAACTTCAAAGCCAACTCGGCCTTCTGGAACAATTCCTTGGCCAAATCAAGCAAAGTTGGTGCCTTCTTCTCCACCAACTCTTCCAACTCCTTAAGCGATGTAATGTCAGCAAATTTTGGCAGAATTTGTTTCAGTTCTTTGACCTCATCGAATGGAATCTTCTCCAACAAACTCTTCAATGGAGCTGGCAGAAGTTGTTGTAGTGGAGCACTGAGCTGATCCAACAAAGATTCTTCTGGTTTTTCGTGCTTATCAGGCTTCTTATCAAAAGGTTTTTTGCCCTCGAAGAACTTCTTGATTGGATCTCCAGGTGGGCCGAAGGCTTCAACCGAGGTCAGAACAACGAGCAATAGGGCGAACTTGACCATGGCTGCCATTTTGATTAATATCTTTTGAAATTAATGTCAAAACCACAAACTATTAAATTCAAAAAAAAGTCAGAAGTCTGTAGAAGCTACTGAACACAAATGATATATTGTTTTAGCTATTCATTTTCCTTATATAGCCAGGTTAAAATTGAATTTTGATCGAAAATTTGTAAAAATGTTGAAACTTGCAGGCTTTGCAAGCTGGCAAAACATTAATATAACAAGCTGTGTAAATGAAAACTGACACAAATGCACTCTAAAAAACATATAAAAGTCTGTTGTTTTTTGAAAATTGAAAAAAATGTTGTAGACTATATCGAAGATGGCAGAAATGCAAGCTGAACACACAGAAAATGCTAAACATGTTCAAGTAAGGCCGGTAAAACAAATCATTTTTAAAGCGTGTTGCAATTAGACTTCTAAGAGAACCAGACCCAGATTTTTTGATTTTTCTCGAGCTTTGGATTGGGCCTCGGCCGTCGAGCCTGGCCCGGCTCAAATCTGTTTCGGCTTAATTCCTTATATAAATAAATTACATTAATGGCTAAGGCAACATGTATCGTCCTGCTGATGTGTCCTAAATAGCCAAAAAAAATTCAAAGATTTTAATATTTAAACACAATTCAAACATTATCCTTTAGTAAATAACCTTAAAATTTAATTTATTTTACACTTTTTGCAACTCAAATATTTCGTTGTGGAACACAAGCCAGGCTCTTATGGATTTGATTTAGACCTTTTCACTAACTAATGTTAATTCGGCTCTTTTAATATTTTTTGCGACCCAAAGTCGGAGCCGAAACAAGCTTAGTAGGCTTTAAGTGATGTATAACGGACGACCAAGAAGACAAAACAAGCAGTATATTGCAGTACGACAATATACATAAACGGCTTTACTATGAGATTTATTTAAAACTTTTCACTAGTCAAATCTTTTGTTGCGAAACCTAAGCTGGGCTCTTGGTACCTTGGTTTAGATTCCACTCAAATGTTGGCACGGCTTCTTTTAAATTATTGCTGCTAAAATCTGAAGCCCGAAGCCGGAACAAGCCTAGTGGGCTTTGCAATGCAATTTTTAGTATCGCAGGGCTTTGTTGTACGTTTACATTTGACACTCTTCAAGATTCAAATGTTCAAGATGTTACCTTCAAAGTTTTGAATTTTTAAAAATATTATATAATCGAATCAAATCTGAACCTTTTATTGTGGCGCGCATTGTTTACCGTGAGGTAGCGGCTACAAGATCGCTGATCAAGATTTATTTGTTTCGACGTATCCACTCGATTGTGTAATAGCTCAAGTCGTTGTAGACTTCTGGTTGTTGTAGTAGGGTTATAGAGAGGGCATGGGAGGGAAAAAAGAGTAGGGTAGAATAAAGTAGGATAAAGTAGGGTAGGGTATGTTCGATTTTTGAAAGGGGTGGGCATTAATAGGGAGTAGTAAAATTTTTTATATTTTTAAAGAGCGAGGGTGTGGATGGGGGGGAGGGTAATTTTTATAGCGTTAAAGCGGTGTAAATTTTTTTTAATTTGAAATAACAGTGCTAATGTGCGATGAGAATGACATTTTTAGAACAAAGGGTAGGGGAGGGTATTGTAGTAGAATCAAGAGATGAAGTGGTTGAATATTATAGTAGATTAGAAAAGAAAAAACAAGTTATTACGGCACGCGTTTTGTTTTTCACAGTAATTATCGTATCTGGCGGTAATAGCCGGTTATAGAAGTCTGTTAGTCATGGTTGATGACAGTAAAGTTACCGAGTAATCAGATAAGTCGAACACGATGGAGAAGATCTTATGTATGAGTGACGTAGCTTCTACATAGTTTTGTTTATTTTAAGTTTTCTGTTTAATTAAGTCTTACTGTTATAAGATTTAAAAATTTGGTTACTGTAACGTAGATTACTGTATGAGACTGACGCTTTTACTATTTTAAATACAAAAGATTGTTGGAGAAGTATGAACATCTTGTTCTTTACCTTGTTTACTGTTTTTCCTATGAGATAGATTATAAAACGGTATATAACGGTACCTTATCTCCTAACTTTTTATTACATTGTTGTAAAGTTGTTGGTATATATATATCACGTTTTTTAGATTGTATTGAAGCTTAGGTTTTTGATTAAGATACTACCCTTCCCTACCCTACAATACCCTACCACACCCTACCCTACCCTACCCTACCCTACCCTACCCTACCCTACCCTACCCTACCCTACCCTACCCTACCCTACCCTACCCTACCCTACTCTACCCTACCCTACTCTACCCTACCTTACCCTACTCTACCCTACCCTACTCTACCCTACCCTACCCTACCCTACCCTACCCTACTCTAACCAACTCTCTCAACTAGCGTATCCTTCCCTACCTTTACCTAAGCGTATCTAAAAGTTACCCCAGTACTATTTACTTATGCCTTTACCTCTGTCCTTCTTCTATTTTGTCGTACCCTTCTTCACCGTTCTCTACTCAAAATTGCTTTCTATGTTATATACGTTTTAAAAACAGTTTGTAATCCCAAGTGTTAGAATCCGTTTAGTGATAACAACTTGAAAACCATAAAAAGTGAACTTGAAATCCTGTTCCGTAACAAGTTTAAAACAAGATTGCTCTTTTCGTAAGCCGTTTTTGCTTCATCGACAATTGATAAAACTGAAACATTATTTTAATTGCTTTTATATTATCCTTCTTTTCACTATTTTAGCTATTTTTTAGTAGATTATACTATTTTTTAATAAAGAGAGGGGGGGTCAATAATTTTTGCTCAGACGGTGACTTATAAACTTTTTTTCCACTGTGAGAGGGTAGGGTTAAAAATAAAATTATAATATAATTAAGTATAGATGTATCGGTAAGGGTAGAGATAGAGTAGGGTAGAGTAGAGTATGCTAGAATGATTATGGTAAAACAGGGTAGATGCTCTTTTACTACTTGATGCACTTTTTACTACTTTATTCTACCTTACTCTATTATAACTTGCCATACTCTAATCTATCATGCCCTACTTTACACACCCTGTTCTATTCTACTCTGCCATTGATCGGTTTGTAGCAAAGGTAAAGCTAGGGTAGGTGTAAGAGTAGAGACGTAGGGTATAAGTAGGAGTAAGGGTAAAGTATGAGCAAGAGTTCTAGATCAAGAGTATCTGTTCACTGTTCATGCCATTACTAAAAATTTTTAATTTTCCAAAAATTTAAGTTTTAAAAATTTATTTTGTAATTGCTTATCACCAAACGTCAAGCCGTAATCACTTTTTGTTGTTGATTACAGCAGAATCAGAAGGCATGGAGTTAATCCGTCAATCGAGAAATCGCCCCATCGAGAACACGTTTTTTTAATTGGCTTAGAAAGCGAAAGTGATCCAACTCTCAAGTCCGGGATCTCTCCCCCCCCTGTTTTACTCGCAGACACGACTTTTTTATACGATACGACAGAAATTAGGTGACTCCCGATTTCGCGGTTTTATGCCGTCGGCTTTCCACCGTTAACTCATCACATTACTTTCGCTTTTTGTTTTTTAGGCTTAATTAATTCATACCCAAAAGTTGGCGACAAACTCTCGGAACGTCGGTGAGGTCACAGGGTTGGCGGAGAGAGTGGTGTAACAGTTTTGAGAGGGAGATGTGGTGTGATTTGATATGGTTGTTGTAGAATTTGAGTTTAGGCTTGTTCAACGAGGCTTCCGAATAAAAAGTGTTTTGGGGTTAGGCTTGATTTAACTAGGGATCGGCACATAATGGAAATCGAGTTTGTAAGATTACATTTATGCTGGGGAGGGTTGCTTTGCCTAAGCTTGTTATAAAAGTTTTAAGAAAGTCTTGAAAAGCAAAATTTGGGTAAAGAGCAAAAATGTGTCACAGTAGAGCTACTGTAGGGTACGTTAGGAATAAGGTAAAAAAAGTTTAGTTAAAGTAAAGATGTCTTTACAGTAAGACTAGGATACGATTCTTCGATAGTTAGCGTAAGAAAAAGTACAGACAGAGAAGGGCAAGACTAAAGTAAACGTTATATACAGAGCCGGGGGAGAAAAATAACAAAAAAAAATTTTGAAAAAAAGTTTAACGTCCCCTTCCCCTCCCCGCAATATAGTAAACTGCTTTATTTCAGAGGTAAGTTACTAATGATAAAGAACTGTGCTAAGAAATTGTAAAGGTAAGATGATAATTTGTCGAGTAGGGCTAAGTGTATGATTTAAAGTAGAGTAAGTCATAGCTAGACTATAGGTAGTAAAGTAGAAGTCAGAATACGGTAAGGCGGTGTTTGGATAAGTCAAATGTAAAGCACGGCTAGAGCAGGCTTGGATAGAGTTAAGACAGGACTAATTGTAAGTAGGGCCAGAACAAAACCAGGTTTGTGTATTAGGGCTAGCCATTTTCAGTCTTTGGGTAATAAATTTTTTTATATTGGTATTGATGCTGCTATTTTAGGCTTATAAAGTGTTGTAAAACTTTTTCTAAGCCTAAACGTTTTTTCTGTTTAAATTGATAGAGGTCATTTTCAACTTTTTTTAAATTTTTTGAAATTTTTTTAAATTTTTTAAATTTTTCAAATTCCTTCAAAATGCCATTTCCAAACCTCTATTGTTTCAAAACCCAATCATTCACCCAGATAAAAGGTTTATCTGTTCCCAGCCACCTCATCAACCTCGAAGCGGCGATTTTATCGTGTAAAATCCGGTAAATCCGCCACCTGTGTTTGTTATCAGCGGCGGATCTTTTGAGGTGAGATAAGCATTGTTTTCCACCCAATTTTGGTTTTTTGCGGATTCTGAGAAGCCGCCACGAACTGGGAAGAAGCCGTCGAAGGTAGCGGGTTTCTCGGATTATTTTAGGTAATAAATCCAAAATGGATCGGTTTTTGTGGAATTTGAAGGAATTCGGATTATTTTAGATTTTCTGGAATGTGATTTATTATTTTTGAGATTTTTAAAGTAGGTTAGGGCAGGGTAAAGCAAAAAATAAATTTTTTCTTCGGTTAGGGTACGTAGAGGAGGGTAGATTAAGGTAGGGTAAGTAGGGTAAAAAATGGCAAAACAAGACAGGGCCGGTCAAGCGAGGGCAGGATATTGCTATTGCTGGCATCTAAACTTATTTTTTAAAGGTTTATTGGTTGCACAGTGCAAAAGTATAAAATTTTAGTTTTGCACTGTGATGGATTCTAATCTTTTTTAAAAATATTCAAAATAAATATTTTACATTGAAAAGTAGGATTTAAAGTCTTTATTGAATGCCAATTTATATTTTTTACTTTTTTTAAATTTTTTGGTAATTTGCACTGTGCAAAAAAATAATTTTAATTTTTTGCACGGTGCAATCGACTTTAAACTTTTTTTAAAAATACAAAAACTGATTATTTTTGGATGGAACTAAGGAATTTTAAGTCGTTGTTAGAGTATAAATTGGCTATTATTTTTTCAAAAGTCTTCCAGAAGTCTGCACCGTACGATTAAAAAAATATATTTTTGCACCGTGCAATGAATTTTGAAGCTTTTGTAAAAATATTGAAGATGATTATTTTGAATTGGAATTAAGGATTTAAAATATTTGTTGAATTGCAATTTAGGTACAATTTTTTCAAAAGCTATTAGACGGTCTGCACAGTGCAATTAAAAAAAAATTTTTTTTTATTTTGCAGCCAACATTAATTTCCAAAAAAAATATAAAAAACAAAAATAAACAAAAATTGAAAGTAATCATGCCTAAAGCAAAGGCATTTAGAGTAGTTTTTAAAAACCCCTTAAAATTTTCACTTTTTACCGCGCGTCAAATTAGCCCGTTAAAGAGAAAATTGAGCTCTTCAGAGTTCCAACAAGTTCAATATGTTTCCGGTAGACAGTTTTTTGTAGCGTACTTTCTTAATATTGCGTTGTATTTTGTGTTTTTAGCTATGGTATGAGTAAAAATGGCATTTTGAGGAGTCAATTTAATTTTTTAATTTTTTTGATTGCACTGTGCAAAAATTATTATTTTTGATTTTTCGCACTGTGCAATGAATTTTAAAGCTTTTGTAAAAATAATAGAGATGAGTATTTTGGTTTGGAAATGAGGATTTAAAATGTCTTTAGCATTCTTATTTGTTTGCTATTTTTCCAAGCGTACTCGAACGTTCTGCACATTGCAAGTTTAAAAAACTGTTGTTTGCACCGTGCAAAAGATGGATTTTAAAAGCCTTTGTAGAATATTAAAAAAGGTCATTTTGGACTAGAAATGAGGATTTAAAATCTTTATAGGATGTTAAACTGTGTGTCATTTTTTCAAACGTCCTGGAACGTCTGCACCGTGCAAATTACTATTTTTTATTTATTGCACGGTGCAAGCTGTTCTTGTGATTGCACCGTGCAACCTTAAGCTTCTTATTAAAAACTTTTAAAATCTCAAAAATAAAAAATTTATTTTAGACCACTCAGTTTTTCAAATTTAACTTTTGCGAATTCGAATTTTGCATTTTTTGTTACTTTTTGATTCCAATTAGTAAGCCGACTGTCTGGTTCGATCAGTTGTGATGCGAATGACCTGAGGCATTTTGTTGAAACATTTTGCGACAAAAGTGCCTTTTATGCGCCTACCTTTCGCGATTAGCGGCATCTTTTCCGCCGAAACCTTTAATGCGGTTTCGAATCACTGTGGATTAACGTGCTGATCGTTCGCGCTTCTGAAGGCATATCTTTGGCTGTGTGGTAAAATGCGGACGATGGGGTTGTTGGTATGATAGATTAGGGTTTTGTGATCATTTTGATATATATCCAGATATATATTTTGCCAAATGTCATAGCCAAAAAATTAAAATAAACTTGGGTTCACCATCTGATGTCTACTATAATATAAAGCAAATTTTTGCCAAAATACTCTGTTACTTGCCAAAATATGATTATAAATGACGTTTTAAGTACTATATACTTTACATTTCTTACCGTGCTTTTCAATTTCATACCTAAAAATTACGTTTTTTCAATAATATTGTTTTAGATGAGGTGGACAATATTAGGTGCCATATTAATAGTACAGGTGTTATCACGACCTCAAAGCGACACAAAAGAAGAACATCCAGCTGATGGTAAGACAAAAATTTTAAAAATCATGTTTTGTTTATTTAAAAATAGCAAAAAGTTTTAAAAATTTCGAAAAATTTGGGGATTTTTTCGTATAACTTGTCTCTTGCTGCCTGTAAAATAAAACTTTTTAAAAATTATTGGATATCTTGTAAAAACATGTCGTATTTTACCAAATTTATTCTACATTATGTTATACTACATCATTTTAGACCTAAAATGCCCAGAAGAGCGGACAGCCTACTTCGTAACTCCACATGTCTCTCCCTTGGCATCTTATTCATTCCGAGTTGATGAAATCGAATTGGAAAAGTGTCAGGAGTGGTGTTCGAAGAATCTGAACCCTCAAGAACAGCCAGCTACATGTGCTTCGTTTACCTATAACAACGAAACAAAGCAATGTAAACTGTACCCCGAAAAGACCTTCCCTGACGGACTTTTGGAGCGACGTGACACCAAGAAACCCAAGTTTTTGTACGAAAAGTACTGTTTGCCAGGTAGGATATGATTGATTTTTGTAAAATACAATCGTCATTATCTAGTAATTCCACTGTTTTACTATAAATTTTGCCGTAAAATGCACCTTACCTTACCTCACCTTACCTTACCTTACCTTACCTTACCTTACCTTACCTTACCTTACCTTACCTTACCTTACCTTACCTTACCTTATCTTACCTTACCTTACCTAAGAATCTCTTAGCTCTACCATAGTAATTTCTATGCCCTTGCCTCTACCTTTGCGCCTATTGCTGCCCTACTCTACTCTACACTACTCTACCGTACCTTACCTATTTTTTTACTATACCGTACTGTCTCATCGACTAGTTATACTACTATCATATTGTACTCGATCATTGACATAGCCTATTTTACCTTTTTCCCTATCTACTCTATCATTTCAGAGCCCCTCTCCCAAAACTGTGCCAAAGTCCACTTCCGGCGTGTCGACGAAAAGATTCTGAAGGGCTACGCTCAAGCTACAGCCATGGTACGAACCCTAGGAGACTGTATGTCACAATGTATCAAGGAAAATGACTTCCAATGTAAATCGGCAATGTTCTTCTACGAAGAAGGCGAATGTATCACAAACCTGGAAAGTGACGATGTGTCATCGGAAGGTTTGGTGGAGCCAGAAGATGACGATAGAGCGATCTTCATTCAGAATGACTGCTACTTCAAGGACCATAAGAAGGAGGATTCTAAGTCTGAATCCAAGGATGAGGCTTCTAAAGCTGGAGAAGCTAAAGATTCTGAAGCCAAGAAGGCTGAAGCTACGCAAAAACAAGTTTCTGGAGCTACTGATAGGACTTCGGAAGTCCAAGAGCAAGCTTCTGAAGACCATAAGGCATCTGAATCGACCCAAACTGCCTCCGAATCTACCAAGCTTTCAATGTTGGAGAAGGTGACCGTAGACGAATCTACGAAGCCAGTTCACGAAGAAGTTGCTACACAATCAGCTCCAAGAGAAGACAAAAACTCAAAGGAATCTACTACACAAAGAATCGAGACGGTTAATATCCAAACAGCTGCTCCTGTTGACAACGAAGACGCTGGTAAACACTTGGAGATTGTTGATCAAGACATTCCAAGTGAAGGAGGTATAGAGAAGGTGGACAAACACCCTGAGTTGTATGGTGCCAAGATTTTGGTGGGTTTTTGATGTTTTTATAGTTACTCACGCTCTAAATTTTAAAAAATGAATGTTTTTCGTAAAATACGGTTCTTCTAAAAATGATAACAAGTTTCATTTATAACAATTTCAGCAACCATCCGAACAAGAAGGCTCCCTCTTCACAAACCAAGAATCCGAAGCCAAGCCAGCCAAGATTGGAGCTCCAGACTCTACCAAGAAGCTGAAGATCAACGCTCTCCACACCGAGCCTTTCCGATCGGTCGCTCCCTCTCCTCTCAATGCTCCAGCTCCTCCACCACTCAACGATGAAACCTTGTACTTCACCGCCTGGAGCACCTGGACACCGTGCAAAATGAGTGGTGAGAAGCGAGTACGAAGAAGAAAGTGTTTGGACTTGAAGAAGTGCCGAGGAAGCTTGACTCAAATCGAAAATTGTCCAGCTGAACTGATCAAGGAGGTCGAGGACATCAGTCCTCTGGATATCACTGCTGATGATGGTAAGGGGTGGAAATTGAAACAAAAATTTTTTTAAATTTTGAACTTTTAGAAAATAAAAATTCACTTTCAAATTGAACCCCTACATCAATATAAATCTAATCCTCCATTTTCAGCTTTCCAAAACGGCCCAACCCCACCCACTCGTCAGCTTTTGCCCGTAGGAGTTGCCCGAGTTGGAGGTCAAGAAGGAGCTCCACCAGCTATCTTGCCACCTAAACTATCGAATGAGCGGACTGAATCTTTGCCAGATGGCGCTCCAGGAAGGCCCGATGATGTGTGGTCGGCTTGGTTGGGGGTTTGTCAGGTAAGGGATGATAATTGAAGTTTTTTTGAAACCAAGCACTTTGTCCGGTAGAGGGGGGCGAGGTCAGAAATCGAAAAAAGTTCCCTAACCTGCCTAACCCTGCCCTTCCCTATCGTACTTTGTCTTATCCTACAATATCCTAGAATAACTTACAAGATCATACCCAGCACTATCCTGCTCTCCCTTAACATACCATCTACCTTACTTTGCTTTACCTTACTCTACACTATCCTGTCCTACTCTACCCTCCTTATCCTACCCTACTTTTCTCTTTAATCTGTCCTATCGTTCGATCTCCGAATATAGTACTATAAAGTACAAAAACAAAATTTTATTTTTTTAGCAATTCGCCTCGAGCCAGCCCTGCAAAAACGGTCATATGATTGGATTCGAGTCGCGTGAATGCATCGCCAAGGACCCCACTTCGTGCCAAGGACCTTTCTTCAGATACTGTATGCTACCATGTTAAAAACCTTGCCATATATTATGTACTCTACAGTTCTTTTAATAATTCGTCGAGAAAACGGGAAATTGTCTTTTAATAACTTCTATGTGCAATAAAGTACAACTTACAAAAATTGGATTTTCTGGTTCATAAGTTCTCGGACAACATTAAAATTTTAACTGTTTGGCTCCAAAGTTCGTCAAAACCCCAATAACGCGGAAAGCGATATTTAAAGCTACATTAATATATAAAACAATATAAATCCCCACTAACCCCAAGACAATATAAAGCCCCCTAAACATCTAATAACAGCACCATTAGTCCCACTTCTTCACCGTGTAATGCTTTATTGTGTTTTCGAATAACAAATGTTTTCGCTGTGAGACCCAAAATAACAATCAAAATATATTATTAAAGACGAATCGACTAAAAAAAGTCGATTCTAACAAATCGACAAATGAAAAATGGTCGATTTTATACATTTACAAGATTCAACAAGCATATTGAGGTATTCAAAATACAATAACAATAAAAAATATAACGTTTCGATTAGTTAGACTTGGTTAAATTGAAAATAAATCATCTTAGAGCAAAAAGTAACGGTTTTGTTAGTTTTCAAAGGTTTTGATCAAGATGCTCATCGTATTTTACAAAAAATGTACATTTATGTACTATAAATTTAGTTAATACTAGATTTAGTACTACCTGAGTATCAAACCCAGTACTACTATTACTTCAGTATCAACCTCGGAAAATCTAAAACATTCGTATTTTAAATTTAATTTAGTACAGAGAGGAAAGGTTTAAGCCTTACAGCCCACTAAAGCCCTCCAAAATGGTTTTCAGTACCAACAATACTAAGTTTATACCAAATGTACAGCACCCAGTACCATTAATAGTATCTTAATACTATTAGCACCAATTATACCAAAAAGTTATTGTTTTGTACCTATAAAACCTTCCAAAACCATTACGAAAGATAAAATTTACAGTACTACAATGCCAAGACAATAGTAGTACTATTTGTATATAGAGAATATAGTAGTATGTTCATCTAACCGTATTATGGTATTTCACTGGCAAGACAGTAGTAACTTGATTAATAAGAATAAAGACAACCTTATCAGTGCATTTACTGTTAGTATAACATCATTAACAAGTTGCAAACAATTTCAACAATCAAAATGTAAAGGTTGATGAAACTACTTTAAGCTACTGTAACTTTTTAGTCTACTGTAATTTAATAAAAAATACTTTAAATGTGAAAATGTGACTATTATTAGATACTGTAAACATAAAAAAACAAAAAACTACTGTAACAGTACTAAAATCCACAGTAATACAAAAAAGTTAAAGTTGTCCACAAAGTTACTGTAAAATCCTTAAGACAATCACCTTTTGACCCAAGGTAAACAGTTTCCATAAGTCCGTAGTAAGAGTCAACGATCTCATCCAGGTTTTTACTGTTTTCCACCTCTTCGGCCGCCTCTCTTACCACCTCTAATATTCTTGATGTTCAACTTCTTAGCGTCCTTTTCGGCCTTTGTTTTGGTTGGATTCAGAATCTCATTTCTGAAAAAAATTCATTTTTAATCATCAATTTAATTTTTTAATTTTAAAACATTTTTTTTGACTGCACATTGCAAAGATTTCAAAAAATTGTTTTGCACGGTGCAATACATTTAAAATTTTTATTGCACCGTGCAAACAAAACTTAAAAATTTTAAAACTCTCATTTTTAAAACTCTATATAAAGTCTAATTCATGTCTAACTAAAAATTTTAACAAAACATCATCCTGCCACTCCAAAACACTTACTTCACAGCTCTTGCAAACGGAGTATTGTCCTTCTTGATATCAATTTCCTCTTCAGGTTCGAAGCCAGGTACAGGTAAGGGTGCGGCCAGGTTCTCTTCGGTCGAGATTGATGGATCGAATTTGGTCTTGGAATTAAATCTGGTCATCCTTTGTCGTTTTATGAACTGATTTCGAGATCGTTGCGACAATGATTGGAACTCTTTTCGCTTCTGGTCTTTGACGTCTTCTTGGCGCTTAAGTTCTCCGGTAAGACGTTGCACTGTGCGAAGACAACGCTTCTCTAGCACAACTCTTTTGTGCTCGATGGTGAGTAATGATGACAGTTTTTCTTTTATCTGCTTGGCTCGGCGCTGAAAATGGTTGTTTTAGTATAAAAAAGCAAAAAAATATTAAAAGTTTTAACAAATTGCAATGTGCAGAAAATCCTAGAACTTTTGCAGCATCCTAATAAAAACTAAAACATTCGACAGTCTAAAAGCTTTGAAATAATACCAAATTCATCAATAAAAACTATCGAATTCAACATGAAAATTCAAAAATAATAAAATTACCTCAAAATATTGTCGTTCCTCCTCTTTCGAGGCAAATTTCGGTAATTTCCTTTTATCGACCGGCACTTTTTCCGTTGCTTTTTCAACCGCAACATCATATACATTAGTTAGGTAGCCTTTATCGTCTCCTTGCTCTTTGCTCAGTACTTCAAACGCCGGATGTTGTACACTGAAACGTAAAAATTTAGATAAATTCGCCAAAAAATGCCATTTCTAACATTACATCCATATAAAATTCTAACAAAATTAAAACATAGACCTCGTAAAACCTTGACAATACTATATTTAACTTTATAATATCCAAAACCCCTCAAAAACACGACCCATCGTATAAAAAGTTGCCGCCGCCTGCAGTTCCACGAATCAAGCAAGGGCGCAGAGCTACACTCCCATAAAACATTTTCTTCCCAAATCGTATAAAAAACTTACAACAATGCCATTTCCTGAGCTTGTTCCGGTCGAGTATATACGAATCTGACCAAAGATCTTGCTGATAAGGTCAGGTTCATGTATTCACTGAGACGATCAGCTGGCGTTCTGTCCAGTTCACGTTGACGATATTTGCGAAGCTGAGCGGACTCAACTTCTGATTGTGGAGTAGTGGTGGGTAAGGAGAAGGCCGACTTTCGGTATGGATTCGATTTTTTCGACTGAAATTTTAATTTTTAATTTTTTTTCAAAATCTTGATTTTAATTTTTTTAAATTTTCTGCAAACATTTGGACCAAAATCATAATTCCGTTATTTTTAGATTATCAATGTTTAAAAACCCTACCTCAAACAAAAAGTCTAGCTGTTCAGCGCTCGGCAGAACCTTGATATTCTTGTTGTTGATGCTCTGTTTCTTCTGGAAAACGGCTTCATATTCGGGTACGTCGAAGATGTAGCCAATAATGAAGTCATCACGAAGTCGGAATAGTAAATCTGGTCGTACTGATTGGATTTCGGCCAATCTTTCCACAAACCGTCGATGAGTGTGAGGGTCGAGGACGGAGTTGGTCTAAAAAGTGATTTGTCAGTGGGGTGAGTTTGTCCCATTATTTATAATATTAGATGGCATTTTTTTCAAAATCTGAGTAATAGCTTTTGTAGAGCATAAAACATAGTATCTCTACTGTGATTTTGATAGTGATATCTTCAATGGTTTTAAAGTTACATTCGATTGAAAATGTCAAAAATCCAAAAAAGTTCGAATCCGCATGGAAAATCGATTTTTTTGTATTTTCAACATGCTGTATCTTTGATACTAACTAACATACCATTATAAAATCTTGCTAACATATATACCTTTTCACGCTTTTCAAGGCCTACATCAATATTTTCAAAAGAAAACCAAAACTTACCTTCAAAGCCAAAACCTTGAGTCTTCTGAATCCAAGCTCGATATTGAACAGTCGGTCCTTTGTAACTTCATCAATGTGCTTCTGTTCCCTTTCGTAGAGGGTCTCCTCCAACGGCACACTGACCTCGAGTCCATTAATTTCGTCGCACATCTGTTTATAGATCTTTCTCTGCTTGATTCTCGTCTTTCTGTCCTGCTTCTCCTTCTGAATGAAGCTTCGTTCGGTTTGTGTGGGTTTGGCCAAGGATAGAATGTCTGATCTGTCGGCGACGTCGGTTTCTGGGGGTTCTGTGAGAGATTTGGTGTACTCATCGAGCGGCCGTTTCTTTTGTTTTTGGCCGTTCTGAAGCGATTCTCGGTCATTTTTGTTGGTTTCTTGGCCATTTTTAGTTGTTTCTTGGCCTTTTTGTGGGCTTCTGTCAGTTATTGATTCGATTTCCCTTGACGTACTGAGTTTTCGTGCTGAAAGTCGAGCGCTACGTTTCGGTGAGACTGTATCGGTTTCTGAATCCAATTCCTCTACATCAACTTCGATCATCGTGCTAGCTGTGTTGATACGACTTCTCATGGACTCTAGGTCCAAGTCAGTACTGTCTATTGTACTAACAACGTTCCTAGTACTATCTGTTGCTCCGTAGCCGTTTCTAATACTGTCCACAGTACTAAGGCCATTTCTACTATCATTAACAGTACCAAGAGCATTTCTAGTACCATCAATGCCCAAGCCATTTCTAATATTCTCGGCGATGACAGTAGGTATACCATACATGGTTGGATCATAATTTGCATTAAGAAGGCCGTTTCCAGTACCATTAGCGAACGAGTTTTCGAAAACAGTACCAAAAGCACTAGCCAGAGGGTTGACAAGGCCATTTTGAGCAGAACCAAGTATAGCATTTGCAATTGGAGCTCCTGTACTGTCTTTCGTACCATATCCTGCAACGGATCCCGCACCGATTCCAATACCATTTCCAGCATTAATCCCAGTACCAACTCCAGTACCATTAACAACATCCGAGTACGGGACATACTCATTCTCCTCCATTAGATCCAGCTGTCTCAAGATTCGAATTCGCATTGATTTTGACATTTTATTCTGTCGCATCTCCTTCTGTAATACTCGTTTTGATACTGTGGATCGTACTGTGTATTCAGGGCAGTCAACGGCCGCTCCTGGCTCTTGGGCCGCCCTCCAAATGTCTTTTTGGGTTTTGTTCTTCATCACCAGCTTTACGAGGCCGCTTATGATACGTCGTCTCAGTACTATGAGATCGTTGAAACGTTCAAGGAGCTTCGAAGCTGCGGATAGGTTCTCGTAGGTGTCTTCTATTTGATTTTCATCCAGATTTTCAAAATCTACATCGTTCTGATCGAAGTTCATGCTGATTTGGCTGTTTCGGCGTGAGTTTCCGGTCAGGACGTCGCGATTTTGGTACCTAAAATGGGGTAAAGAGGTCATTTTTCGTTTGAAAAACTGTTTTTTCATGTAAAAGTGATACGAAAAATCAACTTTTTATCAAAAAATTCCAAAAAAATTCACTTTTTCAACCCAAAACACCATCAAAACCGTACCTTTCATACCTATTGCCATTGTACCTCACGTTCCTCTCAACGTTCCTATTCTCTTTGTCCGAATTCTTCGAAGCCGTGCTACTGTTCTCAGTGTCAATCTCCATCTCTGTAGCCCTTGTAAACCGCATGCCTATATTGATATTAACCTTGTTTGTCACATTGACATCCGAACTTCGCGTCCTTCGTCTCTTATATAGAGGCAGGACTTCTGGCCATCGATAGCGTGGTTCTGTGGAGCGGCTTCGCTTCTGGCGGGCTTCTGACGTTGAGTTTAGTCTTTGCTCGACTTCTATGCCTTTGGAGCGAATTTTTAGGGCTATTTTGGTGAGTTCCGCTAGCTCCGTGGTGTTGTTTTCGAGATAGCCAAGTAGACGTTGTTTCAGCTCTTCTTCGTCCGATAGCTCGAGCCGAGCGCCCATTATGACGGTTTGTTCTGTTTCATCTGGAATGGCATTTGATATGTATTAACTTTATAGGCGAATCTTATAGTAAGTCCAAGTAATTTCAAAAAAGTTCAAAAAATTTTAAAATCTGCACGGTGCAACTAAAAATATTTTTAAAAATATACCGTGCAAGTTGTTCTACAAACTTTTGAACCAACAATAAATGTCATAAAAATCCTCAAATAAAACACCTTACCATCGTCATCATGCTGACATTTAGGATCATGTGGATCACATGTTTTGAACATTATTCGATCCAGATCTTCTTTTAGCGGGAAATCCGAATTTAAAAGTTCATCCGCTTCATCTTCTGCTGATTTATAGGGCTCGTTCCTGAAAAATTCATTATAAGTTTTCATTTTCTTTAGTTTAGAGTCTCAAGGCCCTTTTAAAAACGTTTAAATTGACTGCACAGTGCAAAAACCACAATTTATTTTTGCACAGAGCTTGTGGTAACTTCAGAAATTTTAGTATCGACTGCACGGTGCAAATTTTTAAATTAAAATTTGCACCGTGCAGTCGATATTGCCATTTTTAATCAATCTAACCTCCAAATTGCACGATTTTTAAAACTTTTCATAGTTATATAATCATTTCAAGTCATTATAATTCATATTTAATCTTACTTAAACTAAAAACGTTTTATTATCTTCACCATGACCTTACCTAGCAACACTATCGACCATATTGTACACAGTAGCCGTTACATCCATATTCATGACCAGTAGTTCATCTGGACTCATTTGGCCATTCTTTCTCGGCACCGCCAATGGTTTGCCGAGTTTTTGTTTAGAGTAGGCGGATCGATACCTATACATTTGATCCATGAGCTTCACTTCCAATGTGGCACAGCTCAGATTCTTGGCGACTTCTGGAATTTGGGGTTCGAAGGCTTCTTGGAAACGAAGATTCTGAAGTCGGCCATCGACGAACACTTCTTTTGGGGTTTCTCCTCGCGCTAGTTGGTACTCTTCGTTCATTAGGTTGAGGACGGTGTATTCGTAGATGAATCGGCGTACGAACTCGGCCTTTTTATTGATTTCGGCCGCGTGGAGACCCATTAGAGCTATGTTCTTTTCTAGTCTGGCCTGGAAATGGGTAGGGTGAGGTTAAGAACGAAAAAAAATAATCTTTAGTAGTTTTTGAAGGCAAATGAAAAATTTTAAGGTTTTTAGGTCAAAAAGAGGACTATAAAGTAACGTTTTTCAAGCAAAAAAAAATCTTGTTTCAGCCAAAAAAATCCTGAAAAAGTCATTTTTACGACTAAAAAATGCAGTTTAATACCTAAAAACATGAAAAATGTTTCAAAAGCCCTACCGATTCTGTGTCCTTAACAATATCCAACGGGCCTAACCTCGGCTTCTCTCTGACCAAATAATTTGCGTACATCTGAACCTTCGCCAAGTCGAATAAATCATCGTTTTTGAATACCGTGTCCAGTATTTTTAGTGCTATTGGTGCTTTTCCTGTCTTTTCACATTCTTGTCGCAACTCTTCGAGGCCATTCAGTCCCCCTGGTAGGACACCTTCTACAAAGTCGGCTAGGTTTGGTTCTTCGTCGGTTTCTGGCTCTTCTTCTATTTCATCGTACTTTTCAAATTTCTGGAAATTTTTGGGATTAAAAGCAAGATTTTGAAAAAAAAATTTTAAAAAAACATTTTTTTCAAAAAAAAGTTTAAAAAAATTTTTTTTAATTTTGAAATTTAAATTCCATACCCATCAAATCCCCAAAAACCCTACCTTATCCTGCGTCTCCTTCCCCTTCTCATAAAACGCTGCCAACGCTTTGACCGTGTTCAGCTCCAGCTCGTCCAAGGCCCTTAACTCAGGGAAGCGATCCTTCAGAACCTTTGCCAAATCCGTCACCGTCTTCTCTTTGCCATTCTTTTTCGGTACTGGGATTGGTGAGGCTAAGGGCGTAGCTGAACATGATGAACTGGCCGAGGTTGAGGCGGATTTCACTTTGGGTGGGGATTTTAGTAACTCGTCCTTTGGCTTCTTGTTTAGCTTTTTCTTTACTCCGGCTGGGGAAATGGCTAGAAATAGGAGTACATAATTGTTAAAATTTGGCATTGAAGTAGGTGGAAATTTGAAAAATTGAGCCAAAAAAAATTTTTTTAAATATTGAACTTGGTCCCCCTGTAGATTATTTTTTAAAAAATTAATTTTTAGGTAACAAAAAAAAATTTTTTTTCAAATATTGTACCTCAAAAAATGACTTCATTTCCCTTTGTCCATCTTAAGAAAAATCAATTTTTTACCACTCCCCCCCCCCAATATCTATTTTTTCAAAAAACCTTACCAGTATCCCCAGGTGATTGTAGCAAAGTGGGTTTCAAAAACAGATCCCCAATGGCATCTTTGACTGCTTTTGGTTGTTTTGGAACTCTTGGGGTCTTGACTGACAGTGGATTGGTTCTTGGTCGGCCTCTCTTCCTCGGTAAATCAGGTGATTGATGAACTGATATTGGGACATTCGGCTGGGAAAAATGCTGAATTTGAGATGGAGTTGCTGACTGAGGTAGGATTGGCTGCCTGAAAATGTTAAAATTGGCTTTAAAATTTCATTTGTTACCTAAAAATTCCTTTTAAACACCTAAAAAACCTCAATTTCTCCTAAATTTCCCTCAATAACCTTATCCACCCTAACCTAAACCAACTTACATTCCCCCAGGGAAGTGTCCAAGGCCATTGACAGGCTTATGATCCGCTTCACCTTGTTCAGATTCAAACTGTTGTTTCCTCAACCTCTTCTTCGGCAAACTTTCAAAAATCTCCTCCCCGGGAACATGCCGTACCATTGGTCGTATCGAGTCCGTACTCGACGACATTAGCATTTGTTGCTTTTCCTGTCGTTCACGTTCTTGTCGAAGCTTTTCCGTGATTTCTAAAGTTTTCTGAAGCAGATGATTTTGTGTTAGCGTCGAGGGTTGGGCTTGAGGAGCTGAAAAGAAGAGTATTATAGGGTGATTTTTGATAAAATTAGTAGGTTTTTTAAGATTTTTAGCCAAAACCTTTGAAAGACTTGATAACCCAAAGTAAGATAAACATTTTAGGTAACAATAATGCAGCCCCAATATAAAGCAAGAAAGATAAGAATATTATTTAACGTAAAATCGAAGTTACATCCCTATAAAATGTCAAAGATCCTCAATTTTCGAGCCAAAATCAAGATTTTTTGCTGTTTCAACTCTTTCAAATTGTCATAGCTCTGCCATTTTTAATGAGGTCAATACAAAATTTTAAAAATAAATTCCAAAGTTTTTTTGATCATTTTTAAAAATTGGCTAGCAAATAAAACTGGCTACCATCACACAAATTTTTATGTCTATACCTACACTTTTCATAAAGTTACAGCCCAGACAAAGCAGCCATACCTATACTTTTCATAACGTTACAGCCAGGAGAACATAGCCTTAGCTGTCCTTTTAAAAAAAGTTACAACCAAATCAAAACACTCCCATACCTGTGCTTTGAGGTCGATTTTGCATTGACTTCAGAAGATCCAGTAGTTTCTGTTGTTCTTCCGTCCCTAAGGCAGCTCTAACCTTTTCGAATTCACGTAGCGTTTCCTCGGCCTTACTCGTCTCTTTGGCTGGGGAATGTGGCCTTTTAGCTGATCTGGGCGAGGCAGCGTGAGGTCGACTAGTCGATGCGGGCTCCATTTGACTTGAGGTTGGTTCGTCTTTTTGGCCGAATTTCGACCAGGATTCACGGAGCTCGGCTATTCTTTTCACGGCCTGAAAATTTTTAGGTAAGTTTGATATAAGAAAGGGTAGGGTATATAGGAGTAGGTTTGAGTATGGTAGGGTACGGTAGGATTAAATACAGCAAAGCGCAGTGTTTTGAAAAGTAAAATCCTACCTGAAGCTTGCTCTCCAACTGCTGAGGTACCACTTGTGGAGTAAACGGTCGTTGTAGATATTGTTGTTGTATGCTCGCCTGTTGATTGAACTGTGTCCTCTGTAGTAGTCCAGAATTCAGTGGATTCTGTACCAAATCCGCTAGCTGATTCGCGCTCATCGTACTCAACTGACTCAATAGCCTAGCCTGATTTAAGCTTTGTTCCTGAACCTGCTGGACTAAATTGTTAGCTTGGCTAGAATTCTGGTTTTGTAATTGAGCCAACGCCGACGATTGACTGGACTGAAGTTGTGATAACACTTGAGTGGACTGTAGCTGGCTTAACGCAGAATTCTGGCTAGTTTGAAGCTGAGACAAGGCCGAGTTTTGGCTAGTCTGTAGATGATTTAGCGCTGAGTTCTGTGAAGCTTGAAGCTGTGATATTGAAGGTTGACTATTAGGTAATAGACCAGAATTCTGACTAGTCTGTAGCTGGGAGAGGGCTGGACTTTGACTAGTTTGTAGCTGGGACAAGGCTGAGTTTTGGCTAGTCTGTAGCTGTGCCAAGGCCGAAGGTTGTGTTAGGCCAGAGCTCGATAGTCCAGACTGTGACAATCCTGAATTAGATAGTCCCGAACTCCCTAAACTAGAATTCAATCCAGTATTGGCTAGGCTAGAATTCAGGCCAGCCCTTTGTTGATTTTGACTTTGTAATAACTGTAATAAGAGTACCCGTTGTTCTGTCGTTAGTTCACCGTGATTTTGTTGTTGATAGTTCTGAAGCTGCTCCAACTGACTAGCCGTGTTCTGAAGCCGTGCCAGATTCAGCTGTTGGCCTAGATTCGATTGCATATTGAGACTACTGGAGAGTTGTTGTAGTTGGGGTAAGGCGTTGTAAATATTGGACTGCTGGGCTAACAGGGCTTGTGCTAGACTAGCTGTGGGCATGGTTTCAAGGCTTTGACGTTGTAGGTATTGGGCTACTAGATTGTTTTGTAACACCGAGGCTCGTTGATCTACAAAATGTGGTTTTATAAGCAGAAATGCGTTTTTTGCTAATTTGTTACCTAAAAATTAACTAAGCTTCAGTTTCCTCCAACTTGTTACCTAAAAACCAATAAAAATTAAAAATCCATACCTAAACCGTAAAATTGATTAGTAGACTGGGATTGTTGTTGGTTAAGTTGTGCGTTTAGCTGTTCCATCGATGGCATCGCTGATGCAGCTCGTTGTGGTTGATTCTGAAACAAAATTACCGTATATTACACTTGTCAAATAACTTATATCACATTGTCAAATAATAGAAAATTTTTGCCCATTTTGTTACCTGAAACCCTCAAAATCAATCTATAGTCATATATCAATCATAATTTGGCTTTATAAGCCTATATCAGCCCCTAAAATCCTCAAAATCAATCCCGACTGGCCAAAAATCTAAAACTTTGTCAAAAACAATAACAGGCAAACAAAGAGTACTTTGAAGTTGCCTTTCTTCTCTTATCACTCGAATTGATTAAAAACAACTGACTAGAAAGTTTGTTGCTTGTGAGTTCAGCTGGCTCATCTGGTTTTGCTGCTGTTGAGCCAGGATCTGGTCTCGGATGGCTTGCATCGAGCTGGTTGCGTGCTGTTGAATATTCTGGTTTTGGAACTGGCGGTTTTGTGATGGCTAAAATTTATATATTTAGTGTTTAGGTATAAATACGACAGTTTTAGTTTAAAATATTGAAATTTAAAAGGTATTTTTAGGTATAAAACATTTTTTTGTAATTCTTAAGCTTAAAAAAGTATAAATATTAAACATGTAAGTACGAAACTTTTAAAAACTCAAGTTTTTGAATTAAAACTTTAAAAATACGTCCAAAAATGTAACTTAAAGATCAATATTTAGCCTCAAAACGCCTTCAAAATGCCGTTTTTAACATTTTCCTCACACAAAAACACGTTTTTTTACCTAAAAACCAATAAAAATAATAAAAAAGCTTACCGAAAACCCATTCCCATCGTCTGGAAGCGACTCGTTACATGTTAGATCTGAAAAATAGCAAATTACATGCTGGGATTGATACAATATTTATTTTCCCTTAGGATACAATAGTAATGCTAAGCAAGTCTATAATTATCTTGAAAGACTTTCATAAGACATATACCTTTTTCAAACCGTTTTTTAAGCTGATATAGGTTTGGATAACCAAAAAGCTTAGATAACAAAAGACTTATATAGTCTTCATAAGCCTAAATCCCTGTTTAATAGCCTACACGTATATTACATGTCTTTGATAAGCCTGAACCTTTCTCCCCTCGCCTTTGCAAGTTTATGCCTATATTAGGTTTTCTTTATAAGCCTAAATCTGTCTTAAACGCCTTTGCGAAGGCACTAATAATGCCTACAGAAATCTTATACCTATAGGCCTATTATCACAATCGCAAATTAGCTTTATCGACCTATGACAACCATAACTTATCTTTCTAGGCCTATACCGATCATAACCTAACTTTATAGGCCTACTCCACCTTCATCTCATTTTGCAGTTCTAAACATCGAACAAAATAATAACAAAACACTTACCCCTCGACATAATTCTCTTCGTCTTCCCGCTGGTTAATGACAAAAACGTTTAAACTAATATGCGAAGAAGCGGGAGAAGTTGGGGCGAAGATTGATAACGTCAAATGTGAGATGATAACGGCAAGAAGTCTGTTTTCTCTCCGCCACAAAACTGTCTGTTATGTTTTTTGTGTCTTGAAAATCGCCCTTCACTTCTCCATTCGCGAAAAACAATATTCAACAATCTGAAACAATAACAGTTGAAACAGCATTCTCATAATTTTAGATAAAATTAAAACGGGATGTTCTACTGCGAATATTAAAACAGGATTTTCTATCGTGAATATCTGATTATAGCTGATTGAAACACGAAAATAAACATAAGTGATGTTAGAGAGATCAATTTAACAAAAACAATAAAGGTAAAATAAATATAACAAGTTAGAAATATGGGTATAATATCAATATTTAACTATAAAGTCTACTAACACATATAAATAAGGATAAAATAAATATAATAATCTAAAAATATAAAGCTAATATCGATATTTACACTAAAACATGAATTCTTGCTAAAATATTACCTAAAATCATGAAAAATAACAAAAAAATATGAAAAATGCTCTAAATTAATAAAACCAAATTTTTTTTAAAATTGAAAAACATTTTTCATCTTAAAAATGGCAAACTTTCAACAAAATCGATAAAAAACCAAAACAAACTTATTAAAATCTGCACGGTGCAGTCAAGAAAAAAACTTTTTAAAGTTAAACCTAAAATTTAAAAGAATAATAAAACCAAATGTTCTTAAAATACAAAGCAGTAAAATAAAATATACCAAAATTTAAAAACTCAATATTCTTAAAAAAATGTGTACAGTGCAATTGATTAATTTTACTTCACTGCAATGTGCAGTCCGTTTTTGAACCTTCATCGTTTTCTAAACCTAAAACGAATTTAAAAATACAAAAAGGAGTCTAAAAGAATGTGTATATGATGTTAAATTTAAATGTAAAAATAATAATCAAATTTCAATTTTTATGTTAGTAATTGAGTTAGATAAACTGTTAATATCTAAATTAAGTTTAAAATGACATAGAAAAACAAAATTAAACAAAGTTGAGTAAAACTACATTTTCTGATACTAGGAAAGCTGCAGTTTATACATTAACCGTTTTCAAATTTGTCTTTTCTGTTTCTTTAAAAAGGTGGGCATTAAAACTGCACGATGCACTACTTTACACAGGTGTTTGCACCATGCAATTTGTCTGTAAACTTTTAGACCGCCTATAATTTTATAAAGAAACGCAAATCATTTTTAACTACATCATTTTCCAAGATAGCATTAGTTTGTTCAAATAATTCTGCGCCCCTTCTCAAAGCCAAGTTTCAGGGTTACAAGGCACAGAATTATTTGAACAATCTATATTTTTATTAAATGTATATTAGTACGTCACCTATACTTGGCTAACAGACAAAGAACTAAAGGTTGTTCAAATAATTATGCGCCCCAACCCCAAAAACTAGCTCTGAAAAGAGCACAGAATTATTTGAACAACCTAATAACTTCCTCGTTACTTATCAAAAAATCGATTTTAGTCAAAAAATTTTGAAAATTTCCAAAATTCGATCCAAAAATAACAAAATTGTTGTTGCCTCCTTCCCGTTTCCCCTAAAAAAGGATGAACAACCAAAAACAAAAAGCTGAAAAAAGTTTTTTCCCCCAAACATTTGCAAAACAACAAAAAATGGCGGTATTAAGCATGGGCCCATAATAATATGATGATAAGGCTCAAGGTCGTTTCCCGCTATCAACTGATCGGTATCGATTTTTCATCGATGAAAATTCGTCAATGTGTAATAAAAAATGGCGCTTTATCACGGAAAAAAGGGGGAATAAAACTGGGTGTGGGTTCTGATATTAAAGTAAGTTTTGTTAAGGGTTTTGGGTAGGGGGTGATTACGGTAGATGGCGGTGATTACGGTGGACGGTACAGTAAAAATAGGACAATACCAGATCAATTTAGATTTTTAAGATTCTAAAGCAAAAGGTAAGACGATTTATTAATAAAAAAGTAATTGAAGTAGCTAAAAGTTTTGCACAGTGCAAAATTTTAATAATTTTTAAAAATTTCGTTTTTAGGTAACACTTTGTAAAATAATTAATAATTAATTAAGGTTTTGTTATTTTTAACAGTATTTTGTTCAAAAAGTTTTAAGAAAATCCGCAAAGTTCAGCTTACAAAAAGACTTATAAAATTGCACCGTGCAGATAATTTAAGAACAAATTATATTTCAGATATACAAAACAAAAAAAATTGAACTTGATAAAATAAGAGCGTTTTTAAAGCCTAAAGACTAAAAAAATAAATATTAATCTTAATAATTTTAAAAACAGCCTGCACGGTGCAACAATTAAATTTATGCACCGGGTCAATAAAAGACCTTTGTGAAAAGCCATAATAAAATAAATGAAGGTAAACTCTATATTTTTGACTCAAAATTACCAACTACAACGAAAAGTTGACAAAATATAAATATAAGATGACTTTAGAAAGGCTTGTTTCAAGCTTTATATTTATCTCTTCGCCAAGACCCAGCAAGCTTTATATTATAATTATGACTTATAAGCGACGATTAAGCCCCATTATTATGAACCCAGAATAATTTTCATTATAGCTTTATGTTTTCCAGCTCTTGTAATAGTTACAAATTACGAATTGTACTTTAAATAAACACGTATGTTATTTTAAAGTGTTATTACATTAAAGATCAACGTATATTTTACACTAAAAATAGTTTTTTATGAAAAAAATATATTAAAAGTGGTTTTAAGACATACATCATGTCTGGGAAAGGGCCCTAGAGTATCATTTTTAATTTTAAAACTAGATGTTTGTTATCATCTACAGCTAACATGAAGTTTTTTACATCAAAAAACACCTAAAACAATGTCCTTTCTACTTTTTATACCTAAAATCTGACCCTTTATACCTCTTCAACCCAGACCTATAAAGCAGCTAAAACAACATAATTTAGATCATAAACCGATATAAACATCATTTATATTAAAAATAACATCGTTTATACCTGATAACCTTAAACAAGGTCCATTGTATCTCTCCAACCCAAAAATAACATCACTCACACCTCACATCCTACGAAAATACCCATTACGTCCACTTATCCCTCAAATAACATCATTTACAACTCAAAGCTCACAAAAACAATCTTCTCTATGCCCCATACATCTAAAACAATCTATTTTCTTCAAAATCACTTAAAATTTGCATAATAATCCGAGCTGACGAATAATCCCCAAACTAGCAAATCTCGAACAATTAAATCCCCTTAGGCAAAACACGTGTCCGAGAAAAGGGAAAAAACAATATTCGCAATTCATGGCTAAATAAAGGAGTAATGTAGAAAAGGCGAGATAAGGGCAGTGAGGGTTGGGAGCTTTTTCCATTTTTAAATTTCGAAATTTTTAACTTTTTAGGCCAAGCTAGGCAAGCTAGAACAAAAATAGAGTATAATTAAAGCTGATCTCGGGAAAAGCTAAAGCAAGGAAAAAACTAAGTCAGGGGCTAAGCAAGGACAAAGCTAGAGTTATGAAAAGGCTGTAGATGCGTTATGTCTAGGCTAGGACAAAGCTAGATTTAGAAAAAGGTTTGGGCAGCGTAAGTGCTAGGCTATGGCAAAGGATGGGTTAGAAAAAAGCTTGTACAAGGCTAGGGCTAAGAAAAGGCTACGCCAAATAGAATCAGGACTAAAGCAAAGATAGATTTAGAAAAAGGTAAAGGCTTGGGCACCATTAGGGCTAGGCCAGGGTAAAGGAAGTTAGAAAAACACTTGGACAAGGCTGGAGATAGGGAAAAGCTAAATTTAAAAAAATTTTAATATTTTAAAATCAAAAAAGCTTACCCTATTGGTCCATGTTACACAAGAAGAACATTTTTTCATTTACCCCCCCCCCCTTCCTTTTCAACTAATTTCATTTTTACCCCCATTTCCCCTAACTTTCGCACCTTAAAACCCCTATAGTAACTTAAACCCCATAATAGCGCAAATTTCATAACAAACTTTTTAAAGTACAAATTTCAAAATGAAAACTCAAAAACAATATTCGAAATTCGTTGCTAACTCGACGAGAAAATGCAAATCCGTGCTCTCGAGCATTTTTGGCGCCAGAATAATATCAGACGGAAAAGAATGTTGTTGTTGAGACCCAGACGCGGTATGAGCCTCAGACAAAAAGACCCCCTTTTCGAATAATACCAGACGAAAAAGACCCCCTCTCTACGAAGCGACCCCCTATAAGTGAACGAAAAGCCCCCCCCCCTTCTTTTTCGAAGCAGTGCTAGACAAAAAAGACCTCTGTCTACTATAATATAAGGCGAAGCGTGTGAAAAAGACCCCCTTAACTGGGCAAAACCCCCTTTGTAGTAAGTGAAAATCCCCTGTCTACTATAATTTAAGGCAAACCTTCCCCCTTTTGGTCAAAAAGCCCCCTTACATCCCCGGCCTCTTTCTTCCCTTTTCTTTCGCTTTTCAAATTTCGAAAACAACTTGTGTTTCCTTTGTGACCTCTTATAACATGATAGAGTTGTAGTTTACAGACTGTTTGTGTTGTTCAGCCGTTCGCATGGCTTTCGCGAAGAAGGAGAAGATACAAAAGTTCAATTTTAATGTTTTTGAGGTCGAACGGAGAGTTTAACTTTTCATTTTTCAGACAGTGAAGCATGCTTGTTTTAGAATAGGAAAACCTACGTTAAGTTTTATTTTTAGATATAAAATGCTTAAGAAAATCATAACCAAAAAAGCACCTTAAGTAAGTTGAGCAATACCCATTTTTTCAGATACCGAGCTGCTTTTAAAATCGTATTTTAGGTTTCAAGACGACGGAAAGATAAAGTAAGATGTTTTTTAATAAGTGTCATTAATTTTTAGAGCTTACACGACAACAGTTACCTAAAAAACTGTAAAAACCCTTTCTATCCTATCCTACTGTACCCTACCCTATTTTACCCTACTTTATGGTACCCTATTCTACCTTCTCTCTCCTCCCATAAAGTTAACAAAAAAATTTTAAAAAAAACCTTCCCCATCCCCACTATGAGCAAAAATCACCCCTTTCGTCCAAATCATCAAATCAACCAGTACAACACAGCTCATACTCTTCTAGTACTACTGGTGCTGCATCCAAGTACTCTCTAAATCTTCAAATTCTGCAATTAATACCTAAACTACAAAGTCTCAAAAATCCTACCATCCCCAACACTTTCCCCTCCAGTAATGCTCAAATCTTCCTCTCTTCCCCCATGGTTGGAAACAAGACAGAACACGGAACTGAAATGCCATGTACCGGGCAGGGATTAGCAGGCTACAGAGCAAGGCACAAAAAAAAAATATTTAGTGCCCTGCCCTGTGTCTAAGCCTGCCCCTCCACCAGTAATGTCCAACTATCCTTCTCTACTCCCCCCCCCATTAAAAATTTGAAGATACCCCTCCCCTCCCCCCCCCCTTCAAATACTCATGCAAATTCGAAATTGTAAGAAACCGACGCCCCGGCTCACGGCCATAAATTTCCCCCACCGTGCCGGAAACTCGGAACGTTTCAGAACGCTTTTCTTATCGATTTTTTCTTTCGGTCAAAACAACAACTTTTTTTCCTGCTCCTCTTGGAAAACACAAGTTATGTCCTTTTTTCACGTCAAAAGGACGAATACATATTATACTCGAGGGTCTTTACCTAACCTTTGATTTTTGAGAAGTTTGAGACTGGTTTGAGGAGGTTTATGATAGGTTTAAGGGGATTTCTGATAGTTTTAAGAGGGTTCCCTTGTCATTTCTTGGATCAAATTCATCAGTCTTTACTATTTCAAATTTCGAAAAAAACCATGTTTAGGTATTTCATGGCAAAAAAGTTTAAATCTGTTTAATACCTACAAATATCTAATCGTCCTACCAATCTCCTATTATATAAACATCTCCCCCAAGTTTTTGTTAGTAATTCATGTCAGAATGACATTTTAGAAAGTGACAGTCGCTTTCATGTTGTTTTTAAGCCTATTCAAAGTATAGGTAAAGAACTACATATTAAGTTTTTCAAATAATTCCGTGCCCCTCTCAAAGCAATTTTTTGGGGTTAGAGGCTTAGAATTATTCGAAAAACCTATAGTTCTTTATATATTACTCAATTATAGGTAAAGAGCTAGTATATGTCAACTAAAAGCAGTATATAGTTAACCATATCTTCTGGTTAACTATATACTACTCTATAACAAGGTAAAAACTCAATATTCTCTTATTATTAAAGTTATAAAAACAATTAAATTGTTAATCTTTGTATAGTTAAGTTAATCTTGTGCTCATTAAGAGACTTGTGGTGAATAATATTGTCAGATAACCTTTTCCGTCTCAAAACGGCACACACTACCACAGCTCGTTCGTTCGACCTTCTGGCACTTTAAACCGCCATTTTAGCGCCTTTTTGGATTTAAAAATTTGAAATTTTAACATTTTTAAAAATTTCGAAATTTCAAAAAACTTCAAAATTTGACCCTTTTCCATTTTCAACCAAACCCTCAAATGAAAAAGACAAGAAACATATTTGAATTTGATTTAAAACACCGTATCAATGCAAACATTCCATCAAAAACACATCTTCCAAAAAAATTATATTATCCATCCTATACCTACAACAATATACACAATAGAACAACCTCTAATTGAATTAATGAAATTTTGACAAAATGACCAAACCATGAAAAACTAACGTCAGTTCGCGCACCCCAAACTTTCGAAACAGCCCGTCTGAAAAAAATGGGAGAGGAAATAAGACCGTCTGAAGGCGAAAAAAGTAGACGCACAGAGCAAACAGGGCGCAAATATCCATTCAAACACATTATAATATAGTAAAACAGGTAAAATTTAAAAAAATAGAAAATTTACAAGTTAAAAAATGTAAAAATGCCAGCAAAAACGCCTTTAAAACAGCTTTGTTTTTTATTTCTAAAACAATTTTATGTTAGGCGTATAAGTTTGTTTCGCAGGCTGCAGCAGGCAAAGAAGCAACAAACGGAGGTCGGGCGCAGTTCAGAATTTATATTATTTTTACATTTTCGCGCGTTCAACGAACAATTGTGCTGGATAGCTACTGTTTGGTTATAAAACGGGCTCAATTATCCTCAAAAACTTAATTTAGCTTCTTTAATATAAACTATATTAATAATTTTTGTTATACGTCTTTGAGTTATAATTTATTGGCTTTAAAGATTGTAAAACATTACCTATGAGAGTTTGTGTTATTTTTACACCTCTTTTTTACTTTTATTTTGTTTTTGAAAGTGTAAATAGAAGCATTCTTCTTTATGGACTAGTTTTGCTTACTATAATATAAATTTTGCATTTTAGGTAACAATGAACCGTTCTGGATACTCAAACTACTCAGGGAGAAGCAATGCACCATCAGATAACTTTTTATACGTCAAGTTTCCTTGTGATGTTCGAGAGAAGGTTGTCCTCAAGCTTTTTGGACAGGTAAGATTTTTTTTATTGGTTTAGAGCTAATCAATTGGTCAAAAAAGATGTATATTGGTTACAACTTACTGTTTTAATACCGAATTTTATGTTTTTGTCAAAGTCCTGGGTTACTCAGTTACCGTTTTGCTAAAACAAGGTTTTTTACATTGTTTTCTGTCAGACTTAAAGCTGTTTTCGTTATTTCAATATCAAAATTTGGTGAAGTGAATCTTACAAACTGCCTCATAAATTTGTTAAAACTAACTTTTTGGATTCATAGTAAAATGTGGTAGATAGAAAATTGAATTGTGTTTCTTTTGCGTATAACACATTAATCATATTGGTTTGGGTTATAAAGAACATTTGATTTTCTCTGATTTTGGAGTGATATACCTAATTTTTAGGTTGGAGGAGTTACTCAAGTAATCAACAAACGTGAGCAAGGGTATTACTTTGTAGTATTTGAGAAGCCGGAATATACATTGTTTGCTGCCAAGATTTTTAATCAACATCCATTTTTGGGCGGCAGACTCGTGGCGACACCTCGATCTCACACTGAAACTGTAAGTTTGGCTTATTTTTGATTTTTTTGCATTTTAGGGATCATTTACGAATTTACTAAACAAAATGATCAGTGAACACAATTTAAATGTTTTTTAAAGCAAATGGTAATAAAATACATTTCAGGATGATTTATACCGTCCATGGCAAAGAGAACACGGTCAAGCATTCAACTTTAGCTCAGGCACCAAATATAGTGATCTAAAAGAACTTGATTTTGAGAACATGGAGTTACCAGGCACCAGTGAAACTCAAACTTTACATAGTAATATCAAAAATAGCTATTGTGATGAAAGTTATGAAGAAACCCGAACAATAGACATGACTCTCTCGACACAACCCGAGAATGGCAATAACAGTATATTTATTAGTGAAGACGAGGAGATAATCCTTCTAGATCAAACAGAAGATGATGAAGATCAACATGAGGATGATGATGTCTTTGAAGATACCAAACCAATGTCTCCAACGTCAGAAGAAGACGGAGAGATTGCTACAGGGGAATCTGATGACGATTGTGTTATTATTGAAAAGGGAAAAGATGATGAAGAGGATGAAGAACCAGCAAAAAAGAGAAGAAGATGGTGAATATTTTGTTGTAGAGACCAAAGTTATATATTTTACGATCGAAAATTTTAATAATCTGTATTATGATCATTGTTTGTCACTTTTTTTTAAACCTCATGTGTTTTAAACGCATTTATACCTTGTTATAGTTGTATCTTTGTTTCTTTTATAATACTTAAGTTATTTTGCTATTGTTTTCTTTATAAGTCAATAAATGATTAATAACTTTTACACCGATGCAATGTCATGGATAATGTTATCATTGAAGCGAAATGAAGCGTAAACTAAAAGTATTTTAAAGTTAGTTCAAATAATATTTTACACCACAAAATACTATTCTTTCAGTCTACAATAAACGTATGGAACTTCGCTTTTTAAAAATGTACGAGAACCAAAAACACTAACCATCGTATAAAACGTCGCTCTTGAAGGTATACTTTCGGGCGCGAGACGTGCAAACGCTGCGTGGAGGAACAATCGAGAAAACGTTCATTTTTGTTTTGATTCTGGGTTTGGTAAGCGTTCCTAGCTTCGATAATGTTATGTATTGCTTATTTTACATATTTTTTGTCTTGGTTTATCGAATTTCGTTTAAACTCTACTATAACATAAGCTTTTCTTGAGGCAAATGCTATTGATTCTAATAATTTTGTTGTTGTTTACGTTGTTCACGTCGTTTTAGATTGTGTTCATGTGCATGAGGGGTTAATGCTTTATATTTTGAATAATCTTACTTTGAAGGTTGTTTGGATTTTGAAAAACATTGTTTTAGTCTACGTTGACAGGGTTAAAATAATAGTTTATATTGTTTAGGTCTAACAAACTTGGTTTTCTGAAAAAGCGAAAATAGCTTTGTAAAGGCTAAAATAAGGTTTAATCCATCAAAAAATGAAAGGAAAAAAAGTGGTTTTAAAATAGTGATAGATTATTCAAAATGGAACGACGGTTTTATATTGTTTTGCCTTATTTGTTTGCTCACATGATCAAAGACGGACATTTCTGATTTTTTCGCTTTCAATTGGTTTGTCTTGTTTACTACTTTTAATGATGCAATTTTAATATCATAATGTGTTTAGTAAGTCTGTTATCAGCCTTGAAACTTAATAAAGATCGGGTTTGGTTTCAAAAGTTGTAGAACTGTTTGCACGGTGCAAGGTTTCTTAAAGAGCCTTTATAGCTTCCTATTTAAAACTTGTGTAAGATGTTAATGTAGCTAGCTTTTATATTTTGATTTGGGGTATGTTTGACGGTTTTTGATGTTTTAGGATGCCTGCGAGGTGCAGTACCTTGAACTTGATTTTATTGCACCGTGCAAGGGGTTTTTTTGTATTTCTTTTGATGATTATGCATTATATAGCTATTGTTTCTCAATGCATAGCACGATTTAGTTATTTTTTTATCGTGCGTGCCATAATTTGTCAATTTTTCTTACGATATATTCTATGTGCCCTTCTATTAATGAAATATTTTAGAGTCAACCATGTCTACTGCCGAGCAACTTGCTGAAGAGTTCGAACGTGGCGAAACCGACGTTCGTACCGGTTCCGTGGGCAAACGCCCGAAAGGAGAGCAAGCCGAGCACAAGTACGCCCATTCTGAAGGTGATACCCGCAAGATTGTGGCTAATGCGATGAACGGCGAAGAGAAGCGCAAGGAACAAAACAAAAAGAATTGAAACCGGTCTGAATTGGATAGTTTTGGCATTATACAGTTTATCTTCTACTAAATTACTACATTATGGCAGTCTATCGTTGATGGGAAGGATGATATGATCGAGGACTTTGATGGGGTCAAGGATAATATGGTTTGATATGTTCTTTCGGATATTATGGACAATATTGTTGATGTTATGGTTTGGTATTTTAACGTTTGTTGGAGAATATGTCCTAGTGCAACTTATGGATTTAATGGATACGTTCTTCGACGTCTTATATTCATGTCAAGACCAAAAACATTAATTTTAATAGCAACATGGATAATATTTTTGTTACTCTATTTTATGTCAAATTTTGTCTATATTACTCTTTGAAATACCATTACTGTCCTCTTTCATATCCAATTCTCCTTTATCAGTTGTAGATTGTATTATTTTAATTTTTTGCTCCGGTTTTGATGCCAAACTATCAAATTTTGTTGCTTTATGCGTGTAATCATTAATTCTTTATGGAATTGTCTATTTTATTGCCAGTTTTTATGTTTTTAAAATAAATGTAAATTTGAAAATAACGAAAAACTTGCTTTAATTTTGAGGTATGAGTAGTTAAACAGTGTTATCTTATTATTTTAAACGTATAAAGGAATTAGCTGTTAAAGCATTTTTATCAATGTGAAATGATGAAACTAGTAATAAAAAGTTAAACTTTACTAATATTATCAACAATTTCACTTTGAATCTTAAAAATTGGTTTTTATAAAAAAGACGACTAAAATCGAGAGAGTGCGAAAAGCGGAGAGCGGTTAGGAAACTAAAAATAAAAAAGACGAGAAATATAAGATTTTATTTTCCGCTCAAATTTAGATATGTAAATATTATTTCTCGCTGGATTATTACTAGTGTAAAATACGCAATTAAAGTTCTCTATTTAAATTCTTTAAATTGATAAAAATTTTATTTTAAAAATTGGAGACTGGATAACTTTTTGGAGGGAGAATATGTTATAGAAATGCCAATTAGGTTACACTTTTCTAGTCTTTTACTTTTGACAAAGATTCTGAAGTTTTGCGAAGTTCTTTTACTATATTTTACCAAAATATGAGAATATTTCTCAAGATTTATATTTTCTTCATGAACAATATTATTTTATAAAATAACATTGAATTTTTCGTTTAATTTTAATAAAATTTATCTTACTTTTAGATGCCGCATTCCAGTTGATAAGATGCCCAATTCTCATGGAATTTCGGGAGTTTTGACTTCGACTGTCGAGACTGAGCACATCAAATTCGGGTTCCTACATCGGCGACGCGGAATTAGTGAAAATGCCGAAAAACTGGTAAGATTCTGAGTTTTTTGTTGTATTTTAGGTAACACAAGAATCTTCATCGTCTATTTTATAGGTCTATCTGTCATTTAGTGCTTGTTTTGGAATGAAGTGTTTTTGATGTTTGTGTATTCTGTGTTGTGCAATTTTTTAATTTTGAAAATTGTGCTGAGCCGAATCCAAAAATTTAAAAAACGACGAATTAGAAAAATACAGAGATATTAAAAAACATATAAAATGCTTATAACAATTGTTTTCTCTTTCAGTTGGTCTACAACCCGACATTTCACTGGTATTTGGGTAGTCTGCCACTGCCTATGCCATCTCGTTACCAAATAAGGCACATATTGTCGAGAATTGACAATGCGCCCAAGTATTCGACTCATCACATCCTAAGGTACGATGAAGAGACGTTGCCACACCCAAGACCGGTTGTGCAGTTCACAAAGAAGTATTTGGGCAGTGATTGCATGTAAGTTACTTCAAGTTTTCGTTAGTATTACCATTACAGAGTTCAAAGCACGTGTAAAAAGTACGGTACGCGGGTTCAATTTCGAATAGACACTTTCGGAATTGGCGATGACAACTTTTATTTGTGCCGTTTGTGCATCGTATCAATACTGGACATTCCGAAGCCGGTGCCACAGAATCTGCCGGAAATCAAGGACAATATTGCCAAATGGGACATTAAAAATGGCGTTGTACAGGTAATTACGGCAGTTTTTGGGATTTGATCCGTGTAAGAGCGTAAAATGTCAAGAACTTTTTTTAAAAAACAAAAAATGGCAAGGACTTTCTTTACAACTTTCTTTTTCAGCCAGAATCCGACGAAGTAGACTACAGTAACAACGCTCCATCTACCTCAAAGTCAAAAGTGGTACAAATCTTTATAGCCAATGGCTCAATCTCGCTTACTGCGCCAGTAAACCCAACTCTACCTCAACGATCGTACAAATTCAATCCGTTTCGAAGTACAAATGGTCTTTCTAACAATGGGCGAAGCTCTAAAATAGTATTGAGCTGCTTGGACTACAGTGAGAAGCAGATGTTTGTGGACAGAAGAAGACGACGGTGTCATAGTTTGGAATTTATACGACAGAATGTCAAAATATATTGTCAATGTGAGAAGCCAATCAAGGTGAAGAGAGTTTTGAGAGGGAAAGGGCGTGGGAATGAAGGTGAAGATGATGAAAGTGATGTTAAAGGTCGTAATGGAAGCAATAGGACGGCAGAGCAAGATGACGGTATTGTTGGGCGTTCTGAAGGAGTTGTGGATAATGATGCTGGCGTTAATCATGTTAATGATGACGTTAAATCTAAAGACGTGGTAAAGAGTAACTTGAGAAGTAATGATGGAGGTATGGGTTCTAACGGCTCAACAGAAGCTTCTACGTCTTCTAAGCTATCTACAGAGGTGTCTACGGTTTCTAAAGCGTCTACAGAAGGTTCGAAGGTACTTAAAGTTTCTACAGAATTTTCTACAGCGTCTGAAAGCCATCTTACTGTTGCTAGGGCACCAGAAGATCAAGTAGGTGTTACTACAGGTTCTGAAGGTCATGTTGAAGTTGTTATAATTTCTGATGAGCCTACAGAAGTTTCTGCGGTTTCTGAAAGCTTTGATGGTCCTTCCAATGCTTCTAAATACAGTGCAATGGAGCCGACGGCTTCAGAAGACCACGCGAATCTTGTTCCGTCTACAGATGAGCCAATGGATGTTTCTACATCTCTTGGGGAACCTATGGATTGTTCTACAGCTTTTAAAGAAAGTATAAAGCCTTGTATGAATGTAGATGACAGAAAACCATCAACAAGCTCAAAAAATGACAAAACTTCAAGTTTTGAAAGTTCTAAAAATGAGAAAGCATCATCTAAACTAAACCGAAGTATTGAAAGCACGTCATGTCGTCCAAACCTTTCAAAAACGTTGACCGTAACTGAAAAAACGACCTTAAAAGAGATTATCAAGCAAAAATCGATTGATTGCAAGATACGACACGCTGTAGGTCCATTGGTCAAAGATTCGGTACCGAATGATCCAGCTTCCGAATTACTGTCGAAGATTAACAATGCTTTACAGAGTATGAGTCATCAGGTTGGTAGTGGTAGTCAAGCTGGTACAGATAGTAGTGGTCAGGCTGGTACTAGTAGTAGTATTCAAGCTGGTACTAGTAGTAATGGTCAAGCTAATACGAATGATAATGGTAGCTTAAATACTATACATGTAGAACAATTTTACAGTAGTAAAAGAAGCACGAAAAGAGAGCGGTCCAAGTTTGAATGTAATGAAACAATGAAGGATGAAAGTAATGATTCAATAACCGTATCAACTGATAATCTTCATGTTGAGTTCGTATTAAATCAAGCTCAAAAAATGCTTTCAAAAGAATCTATAAGGTCTGGAAACCAAGAACCTACGTCAAAGTCAGAAGAATCTGAAGCAGGACCTTCAAAAATATCGATATTGAATACTGCTTCTACATCAGCAATAGCATCTGATGTCGTGTCAAGAAGCGATATTACTTCTGTAACAGAAGCTGATGTCATACCAAGAAACGACAGTACTAGAAAAAGTAGCAATAACGGATATTGTTACAGTATTATTGCGTATCCAATGGAAAAAGTATCGTACAGTACTAAAACTCATTCAGCAGAATTACAAAGGGTACTTGAAGGTCAACAGATAGTACAAAATCCGATGATAGTACCGAAGAATCAACAGGTAGTTCAAGAAGACGACAGAGATACAGAACAAGAAGATCAATTTGATAGAACCCCTAGTCCTGACCACAATATTGGCCATACTGATGGTGGTAACACGGTATCAGGTGAAGCAAAACAAATGATTGTTACATCACTATCAACAACCATATCTAAAAGACAGCAAAATGAACATGTTGTTGTACATGTTATTCCAAACAATATCAACCACCCTTCTTCAACTTTAGAATTAACTACTCCTACTTCAACTACTACTACTACCACTAATAATGTAACAAACATTACTGAAGAAAATAGCGCAGATGAACCTATGGAAATTAGTAGTATGATCCCAGAAACAGGTACTGAATCAAATTTGTCCAGTAATATTGATGAAGATAGTAATGATCGCTTCATGAGGGAGCAAACTGAACGTAACAATCAGTTACTGACTACTTTATCGACTGTTTTTCATGCTGAGGAAGTCTTGAGGCCAAAATATAAGTCGGCTTCTGGGTTTTCAAAAGCTGTTCTAAATGGAACTATTAAAGGTGGTACTAATGGTACTACTGCTACTAGTCAGAAAAATTGTAAAAATGTGAAAATTAAACACGGTATAGCTACTGATAATAACGAGCTGTCAAATGGCACTGCTTTTGGACTAGCACTTGGTAATGTCGGTACATCTATTACGGAAGATATGACAAGCCTTTGCGATCAACTTCAAAAAGTCGTAAAAATTCATTGGAAGTGTCGTAAAACGGCTACAGAGCTACAATCACGGACATACGAAGACTTCTGCCTTTTCAAAGACAAGGTTAATATACGACCGAGCAAGTTTGACCAATTTCGACCAATCAGAAGACCAAAAAAGGCGAAAAAACGAAAAATTGAACAAAACTTGACAAACAGTAAGACTCAAAAAGTGGCACCATTTGTGGAATTCACTTATGAACCTCCGAACATCAACGCCACGGCCAAGGAACGGTACGCCGCGGCCAGGAAACAGTTTGTTGGAATCATGTCAAACTTTAATACCTTGAATCTGCCAGCCACTACACATAATGTGAATTTGATCAAAATGAAAAATTTCACTAGTGTTTGGATTGAAAGATTACTGTACTTTGAGCCGACTTTGTATAGGAAAACGGCTGATGAGATTGTTCTGATGGAAGCTGTGAATGAGAAGGTAAGGCTGGATACCTTTACTTCCTTTTACCATAGCCATAGTTGTTAAAACATTAAAAAACGTAAAATTATGAAATAAAGAAAAAATGCAAAAATTATTTTTAAAATTTCAGTTAAACGACCTAGTGTACCGCCTAAAACTTTGTCCTCCAGACTCTGAAATGTTCATCAGTAGTGATGAAATCGCTTTCTTTGAAGCGGCTGCCCGACCAAGAAATCTTAATTAATAATTAATTTTAAGCAAATTACCAATATATAATTATAATATGGTGAACTAATCATGGTACAAACTGATCTAATCAAGTGTTTCTTTCTGTGATCTTTACTTTTTTATTAATAAATTATTTATTTTTTTGTTTATTTGATAAATTTTGGTCAATTATAATGTAAGGTATAGATCTTTGAAAACTAGTCTATATGTTTCTACTAAAGGCGGTACTAAAGTTACTACTGGGTGTCAAAATTGTAAAAAAACCTTTAATAAATAATTTATTTTAATTTATAAAACTCTTGATTTTATGTCGTGTCTGTTGTTGGTCTCGCGGTTCTTCAAATATTTTAGTTCAGAAATGAAGAACTTCTTCATTTCTTCGTTCAAATTTGTGCTACTGTCAGCATATGACTGCAGCTCACACAAATAATTATCACAACGATAACATATATCGTCCATGTATCGCGTCTCGTCCCGATCCACTGCGAGCGGCATCATCCTGAGCTTATCTGAAAACGTTTTATTTAGTTTTTTCGTCAAACTACGTCAACTATTATTTTAATTATAGCTTACAAAGAAAGTACCCAACCTGCCCCACTCAGAATCAGCTCAAAATTTTTATATAAGTTCTTTGTATTACCAATAGTACCTATAAAAAATTTTAGCCTGCGCTTTTGAGTTTTAAATTTGAATTATTTTGGTTCTCCGACTATTTGGCATTGTGTTTCAAGCACTTTTTTCGACCTTCCAGACAAGCTACGCCTACAAATTTAAAAATATAGGTTCATTTAAAGGTTTTCTACTAGTATATCAAAGAAAAATTATTAAAAGTCAAAAAATGGTAAAGTTATAAGCTTGAAACACAACGCCAATTTGGCGGGGACTTCAAAACGTAATTTTTTGATCTCGATTTTCTCGAGGTTGGCTGGAAAGCGCGATTTGGTACTTTGCTGAAGACCTTATATTTACATGATCTTTTTATAAAAAAAGTTTGAAGTCAATCAGAGCGGGGCAGGTCGGGTACCTTCCTTGTTAACCAATATTTTGATTGTGCCTAAATCGACCCTATGGCTATTTCAACTCATATGATATTGTTTTCATTTTTTTCGTCTTACCTTTTATGTGGTCGAGGAAGAATGTTGCCTGATCATTAGCAACATCATCAAAACACTGCGCGAAGCGCCTTCGGCCTTCTCCTCTATTACATGCTGTTAAATCACAAACACCTTCTTGATATTTGTGTCTGTGTGATTCTGAAGACAAACATCTGGTGACCGTCGAATAAAACTGCTCCTTTTTCGGGTTGTATAGGATGCACTGGAAATGTAAAATATATGTTGGCAATTGTTTTCTGTGTAGTAGTAGATATATTATATGTGTTAACATAATTTGGCACATTAGCAATATTTTATGACATTTGTTACTATGAAAATTTTAAGCTTTTGCTTTTTAACACTTACTTCGCCTGTGTTCATGTTTTGGATGGCATAATTTGAGATGCATGACCAATTATCTTTTCCTTTAATGTACGAACGTTCAAAGACTCTTTCCTTTGTCTTTAAGTCGTAAATTTGGACGTTGTTGTAGCCATATCGCCCGTTAGCCTCATCTAAAACTATGCTTATAAAACAAACTGTTTAACTGTTAAAAGGACTAATCTATCTTTTTGCACTATATATTACTATTCTTAATAATTAAGAATAATCTTACTCTTTATATACACGAAATCGAGGTCTTCCAGGAAGCAGTGGTCGAACGAGCGGGCCGTAACGTTGCACAACTTAAAGGTTTCATCCGTTTTCATGTCCCTGATATAGAATTCCTCTCGCGACCGTGCCAACATTGGTATGTACCGTTGCTCGCTGTGTCGGTCGGTGTATTTGCATTCTACAAACTCCATCTCAGAAGGGATTTGAAACTCCTTATCAGTAAATGGATCGTAGATTCTGTCGTTTTCTTTCAATTCTATGTACATTCCTTGGTGAAAATGCGTTAATCTGAACTTCTTTAGCACTTTTTGTGTAGTTAGGTCGAATAAGTAAGCGGGTTGTTCAAACGCATCTGTGTCAAGCACCCACTTACAAACAATTAATAGTTGTGTTCCGTTATTTATAAAACGGATTCTGTCGATGTGTTCAGCAAAGTGTTGTTTAAAATCCATCATTTTAAATTTGAACATTGAGAAATCGATATGCGAAATGAGTGCATAATGTGGCCATACGGGGAATACTACTTTTCCAGTAGTTTGGCAATTGAACACATCAGATTTAGCGAACTCAAAAGCGCGAAACTGTGCCCTAAAACAGAATAAAACTAATTTTCGTATGCAAATTACTACTGATGAGTGCTACTAAATGATTGTATTTAGGGGATGGAAGAAACCATTAGCGACGTCCCTGATTGTATTATATATTTTTTGACACTCTGATAGCTTTATAGCCATTATGTGGGATTATTAAATTGTGCAATTTCAAAAATACTATGAGAAAAGCTTACAAGCTGAAAGCGATAGCCCATGTTTCTCCATCAAACCTGTACACTCCATTTTGTTGACACATGGCTTTGAAGTCTCTGTTGATGGATTTGTAAAATTTCTTGTTTATTGACGCCATAGCGGCCACGGTGGCGATACTTTCGCAATGTTCACAGATTTTTTGCAACATCTAAATGTATATAAAACTTAAAAATTAGAAGTCCCTTTTCCTTTGAAAAAATAAGTTTTTTGTAGCCCTTTAAATCCTAAATAATCTTTTTTTGTTTTGAAGAAAAACTATGATAAACGAAACAAGTTATGGCCTCCACCGAAAAAGCGAATCTCCGCCGAATTTTTTTGTAAGTTCAATTTTTTCTAGAATTGGTACCTTTGTAACTGACAAGGTTATGAATAACTTTTTTTTGTTTGAAAAAAACTATTAAAAATAAACGGAGTTATGGCCTTTGCCAAGAAAAGGTCGGCGTCCGCCAGCGTGAAGATAAAAATTATTTTTATTTTGATAATGATTGATCAGTCTCAAATTTCGAAAAAAATTTAAAAACTCTGGGTTTGGCTTTCAGAACATAACTTTCTGTCGTCCGCCGGGTCTCCGCCGAATCTTCAAAAAAAAGCACTAAACACAACATCGAATGGTAAACTCAATCAAAGAAAGAATCAACTTGAGCAAGTACTTTTCGTAAACAATGCAAAAACTGTTGGTCTTATTTCTTGAAACACCCAGTATACAATACTCTTACTACTATATACTGTAAGAAATATAAGAAAAAATATCATTTAATAAAACCTACTTCTTTTGGAAGTCCGTACAAAGCATTCATCTTTAATAAATTCAATTGACAAAGTTCTGACAAGCACAAGTCGTATCGAAGGAATGGAATGACAACTTGTCCTCATGAACCTGAACCTTCAAATTGACGCCTAGAAGCCCGCGCGCTTTATATGTAGTCTTTGTAACATCTATAGCAATTGTTTAATATAAATCAATTATAATATAATAAGTTTTGTCTGCGTATTGGACATTTAAGTTTCGCGCCAAGTTGGCATGGTCTAACAAAATAGCACTGACAAACATACAGAAACAAACTTATCAAGTAATATTGATGAAGATAGTAATGATCGTATCATGACTGAGCAAATTGAACATAACAATGAGTTATTGACCACTTTATCGACCGTTTTTCATGCTAAAGTTGTCAAACCGAGATATAAGCCGACTGCTGGGTTTTTAAGATTAAAGGTGGTACTAATGGTACTGGTCATAAAAATTGCAAAAATGGAAAGATCATGCATGGTATAGCTACTGAAGACAAAGTTTTTTGAGATGGTAGTAAGTATTTATGTTTTTATAAAAAGGTACTATAATATAAAAAAATATACATATTAAATATTTTTTGCAAAAGAATACGATTTTTCAAAATTTGAAAAAACTTACGAAAAATCATTTTTAAAATCTAAAAAACTTGTTATTCTATACCTTTTTTACGCCTAAAAGTCGGTCGGTTACTTTTGTTAATCGACCAAGTAAGTTTAGCATTTATTTTTTTATATTGTTACTATTGAGTACTATGTCTTATATGCTATTTTTGGTTCCTAAAAGATTGGTTTAGTTTATTCAGCTGATATTATATTTTGGATGTTAAGAAAAATATTTTGGATAACATTTTGTTAACAAATTGAAATCTTTACTAATTTTTTGACCTTTTAATATAAATTTAGGTATGATTCCCGGAAATGACAAGAATGTTGGGTATAGCTCACCAAACATGATAGATGTTGCCGCTTCACCGGGCGCTGAAAGTCCCAATTTGCCTCCGGAAATTGGACAGAGCAAATTCTATGAGGTAAGCTTTTTTACCCTACCCCTATTTTTACCTTCTACCCCTTGCCCTCTACACTACTTTCTATCCCCTGCCCTTTACCCCTACCTCTACCCTTACCTCTGCCCTTACTCTACTCTACCTTGTCTTACTTTATTTTCCCCTACGTTACCCTACCATACTATATCCTATCCTACCTACCCTACTCTACCTTATATTACCCTACTCTACATTACCCTGTCTTACTTTTAAATTTCAGAACATTCACCTCGACATCTTCCACGGTCCCATGGACAAGGAGGATATTGCATTGGTACTGAACAATAACGGTGAGTACCTGATTGCCAATGGTTTTGTAGACATAAAAAGCAAGCTCGGGGTGTGGATCAAATGGGCTGATCAGTTGACCTTTTATCCGGTTATCGAAGACATTGAGCAAGGAACGTGCACGTTCAATGGCCTGGTGGCGAAACCAAACTTGACTGAGCTGCTCGCGTGTGTTGGTTGTTGTAGTATACCCTGTCTTACCCTACACTACCGTACCCTACCCTACCTTACCTTACTCTATCCTACTCTACCCTACCGTACCAAACTCTGTTCTACCCTACCTTATCCTACACTACCGTACCCTACCTACCCCATCCTATCTTACCCTTCCCTACCCTTAAAGTTTCAGCCACCACGACACCACCCAACAGCCGATAACGACTGCGCCAGACGGCCCCAAACTGATGTACGGAATCAAAAAGCAGTCGTGGGAACTGGACCACAAAAACGTCAAAACGGAGAAGGAGCTAGGCAGTGGAGCGTTCGGCACGGTCTATTTGGGCAGTTTGTTTCGGAACGGTCAATGGATCCCCGCGGCCATTAAGGTGCCACGCCTGGACAAGGCCAAGAAGGAGGCACAGACGGCCGAATTCCTACAAGAAGCGAGGATTCAAAGGGACTACCTCCATGTCAACATTGTCAGACTGTTTGGAGTCGCGACCAATGGACCGGACATTTTGGTAGGTGTACTGTAGAGTTAGGGATGTAGTCCTACACTATAGGTTTTGTGGCATCTTGGGGTTGACATACCACTTTACTGTATATGGCTAAGGCAGGGTTACGGTAGGGTTGGTTAAGGCTTGAAAAGGGTTACAGTAGGGTTTGTTATGGCTAGAGTAGGTACGGTAGGGTATGACTAGGCTAGGATTAAGATTGATCTAGAATTTAGTTAATGTAGGGCTGGGTTACTGTAGAGCGAACTAGTTCGAAAGCAAGTTTGCACTATGGTATGCAGGGGCGTCGCTAGAGGGGGGGTGGATCCACCCCCCCCAGAGCCGATCCGAAAAAAATTCCACAGGTAGTAAGGTTAAGTCTACTATACTACCGTAACTATAATTGAGTTATAGCTTATCGTAACCCACCCTACCGCTCTATTGTAACCTTGGCCTACCCTACTCCATTCTACCTTACTCGACCTCAGGCTACCGTACCTTTAAGCTACCGTAACCCTATCGTAAAATGCAGTAATCTTACTATAACCTTATACTACATTAACTTAATCTACTGTAAGCTCAATTTCCAATTTCAGATTGTTCTCGAGTACGTGAACGGCGGTGACCTCCTGTCCTATGTCAAGAAGAACCCCCACCTCAACGTCACAATGAGGCTAGCGTTTTGTTTCGACGTCGCATCTGGAATGGCATACCTGCACAAAATACAGTGTCTGCATCGAGATATGGCAGCACGAAACTGTCTAGTCGTTCAATCCCCATGCTATTGTAAGATTACGGACTTTGGACTCTCGGCCAAGGGTTTGAACCAAGCTGTCAGTAAGACCAAATCAGTGCCAATCAGATGGATCGCGCCTGAGGTCATTAAAACTGGCACTTACGAAGCCGCTTCGGATGTGTGGAGTCTTGGGTAGGGTAATTTTTGTTTGATTTTTTTTGCACAGTGCAAAATTAAAAAAAAATTTAACTTTTTGAAAAATCAAAGTTTTTTCTAAAAACTTTTTGACTTTTTCAGAGTCATGTTCTGGGAGGTGTACACGTTCTGCAAAGACCTACCCTACGCCAAAATTAAAGAACTGAAAGAGGTACAAGTTCAGCTGAAGAGCAACCCCAACTTTCGGCCAGACATGGCCAAAAAGGCAGAGCCCCCCCTTTGACGAGTTCTTTAACGGAATTTTTGTGCACGAACCGAAAGAGAGGTGGACTGCCAAGGAAGTGCGAAACAGACTGGTACCCTACTGCATGATTTCGAGGTAGTTCGATGTTGTTTTGGGTCTTAGAAGTTTGAAATTTTTTTAAAAAATGCCATTTTCGAGCTTTTTTTGGAAATAATTGATTTTTTCTATGTTACAGTAATCCATCAAAAAGGGATTAATCCCAACAATGTTCCTCGATATCTGTTACGTATATATACAAGTTTACTTTAACGCGTAATTGTGGCACTATGATTTTTTAAATGTACAAAAAGCCGGAAGAAAGCGCCTTTAATAAAAATTTAATTTTGAGCATGTTACAGTAAACCAATCCAAAAGTAATCAACTACAAAAATGTCCCGTGATGTTTGTTGCGTATATATAAAAGCGTTTGAGTCATTGTGACATGTAGTTTTGGCACTGTGAATTTTTGATTGTACAAAAAGCGTGTAGAAAGCTACTTTTTTGGATAAAAATTTAATTTTGAGAATGTTACAGTAACCCAATCAAAAAATCAACACTTTCAAAACGTTTACCATCGTCCTTAATGTATTGCGACCAAGTATCCAAACCGTTCCAACCCTTTATTTTTCAGATTCCGGCCAGAAACCGCCCTCTACAAAGAGTACTTCGCATTGGTGGGAAAAGCGGACGCGCGTGCCAAAAGGAAGACCCAAAAAGGTGGTACTCCGAAAGGTGGTGCCAAGAGTCCGATGTCAAGACGACGGTCCAGTGAGAAGCCCAAAAGCACTGGCTTAGCCCAGAAAGGGGGTCCAAAAATCAAGAGGAGCAGTTCACCTCATGCATAATGTCTTGGCCAATAAATATTATCATTATAACTTGGATTTCTCTATTTTAGGTAACAAATGTCTTTGTGAAAGACATTATCTTCACAAATAAGGTATTACCAACCAATTACATAAAAAATTTATTCATTTTCAGCACTATACAATATAAGAGGCTTATAGACATCTTTGGTATGAGGAGGTTAACTATTTGAGTTTAAGAATACTATTTTTGGCTGGCAAAAGTACCAAGCTACAAGTGTATGGTACAAAAAGACAATATGGACATTGAGTTCACTGATAATGCTCAAGTTGATGCAAAAAGAATGACGCAGTTTGGCTTTTTGAGCCATTTTTAATTTTTAAAAATATTCTTTCACGTCATTCATTTTACATCAACGATGTAAAAATTTGAAATTAAAACCAGATGATCAGCTTAATTAAAACCAGATGATCAGCTTCTCAATATAGGTAACGACATTTAGTCCACTTACTTCATGAAAATGACTTCGAAAGCCGTTTTTAATGAACTCATTGACCCTTGAGGCAATTTCGTCTTCAGAAGTTGAATTTCAGCAAACGTTAACGAATTGAAGGATTCCGAGAACTCCAACAGCAAGTTCTTCGTTTTCTCCACAGAATTCGCCACTGGTGTTGTTTCATCAGGTGTGGTACTGTTCGTACTAATAACAGTGACGCCACTGGTACTTTGAGTATTAGAGACGTTTGTACCATTAATTGGACTAGTAGTACCATTCTTCATACCAGTATGAGTGCCATTGCTCATTCCACTACTGATACCATTGCTGACACCATTACTAGTAATATTACTTATACCACTACTAGTACCATTAGCACCATAATTTCCACCACTTGGACAAGTAACACTGTTGGTACCGTTAGTACTCTTCGTAGGGCCACTAATACTCAAATTCACAAGTTCTGGTAGTGGATTCTCATTTTCATCCTCATCAAAATCCAATGTTTTAGGTGTTGGTTCTGGCGGAGATTCTTCGTATTCAGCACCTTCGCTCAGACGTTCATTGACTGTTGACGCGAATCGTCGTGGAGTATTATAAACCGATTTTCGTGGCATTTGAGGAGTTTGAAGTATCGATGGTGTATTCTGGACTTTTTGTAGGAATTGACGAGAGGTTGGAGTTACATCCTGAAATTTAAAAATTAAATTTAGAAAAAAAATATTTTTTAAATATTACTTTATTTATTTGAAAAATCTTTTACCTTTGAAGGCTCAGCGAACTTTACATTCTTATTTCTATCATCCAGCCTATTCAAATCATGATTCCTCAACGCCGACCTTATACCTTCAACACTACTAACAGATGACACTGTTGGTGGTTTATTTCTAAAATCCATGCTTTGTCTTTGTTTTAGGATCTTCTTCATCTCTATGAAAGCCTGTCTTTGAGCTGGATCTCGAAAGTCCATACTCATCACCGTCATCCTTGTTATGCCCTAAAATATTAAGGTAAACGCCTTTTTTTATCGGCTACATCAAAATGAATTTAATTTGAGAATATCATAAAAACTATATAAAAGCATTCAAAATTTATAAAACCTTCAGAAACCTACAAAAACTTACATTTTGATTGTTCCTCACAAGTGTATCAAGATCAATTGAAGACATTGGCCTAAACTCCGCGTTTGAGCTGCTTGCGTTTGACTTCATAGGCAACGAAGGTTTAAATCCTTTGTTCTCATCCTGCACTGGCTTTTCAGAGTGAACTGGGTCAGCTACAGGCTTCCTTTTAGGTACAGATGACATAAATCTAAAACAAAATCAATTTTTATGTTTTCAGCCCAAAATTTTAAGCAAAATAACAAAAAATCTACCTTAAATTAATTAAAAAAAACTTTAAAAAAATTCTGTAACGGCTTGGGTCAGTATAAAAAATTCTATAATGGCTTGGGTCACAAACGACGTCCTGGCTTGGGTAATTGATTAATTTAACAATCTCCAAAAAGTTGGAAGTATTCTGTCAGAACATTCAAATCATATTAACCATAGACCATTAAACCTCAAATTTAAGTCAAAACATAGTAAAATAGCCTCTTTTCCTGTTAAAAACTAACTTAAAAAGCTTGATTATTATTTATCCTACTTAATTTACATAAAAATTCACAAAACTTCCCAAGATTTTCCGTCAACACATTGACATATTATCCATCATAACCAATACCTAAATTCAAAACAAAATAACAAAACATACGTTAGTTTCCTTTGAATACCAGGTTGATCTGTAGCCTTGGCCGCCTTTGGTGGTACACTAGACGTCCTACCAGCTATTGTAGTCCTACCACTGCTCGATATTGTTGGTCTTGTTAAGTTAGACATGCTTGAACCTCTATTTATACCCTATAACAAATAAACTTGTATATATATTAATAAATCTAGTCTAAAAATTGGTAAAATAAACATGAAACGTTCAGAAGAGTTTTAGCCAGCTGCTAATTATAAAAAATAAGCAAGATATATAAAAATAAAGAGAAAAAACATAAAAAAATATTAACGTAGGTATCACTTACAACACTTGGTGGTTTAATGCCAGTGCGTTGTCGATTCATTCGTTAAAGGCAACTTATTTACAAGAACCGCACAAAATTAAGAAAACGGGGTTTCAAAAAGCAGAAAATAAAATTCAAATGAAAATTCTCGCGCAAATGTTTTCGTGTCGGGACTCAATCTAATAGTCAACGTACTACTTTTATCTGGGTTTATTTCGGCTGGGATTGCTTATAAAGTTTTAAAAAAGGACGTTGGAAACTTCTGTATACTTTAGTTTGTTAAAAAATGACAAAAAGCTTTAAATTGAAAAAACATTTAAACCTATAAAAATTTCAAAGCAAATTGACTGTATTGTGAATTATGACAAATTGTGATCTCAAAACATTATAAATTTATTTTTGTTTCAATGCAGGACAATTTTATAAACTTTACTCTACGTGATTGTTCGATCTAAAACGTAGATGAGGTTAGGAATGTGCGTAACCTTTTAAATTATGTTAACCATGTTAAAACGGTTAAACAGCAAAAAGTGCATTGTAACAAACTACAAATTGTTAAAAAATTTAAAGTTTTGCAATTAGTTTTTGTTTTTATGAAATAAAATTTTATTTTTTTTTTGAATTTTTTGCACAGTGCAAGATTTTGCTTTGCACCGTGCAGTCGATTTAAAAACTTGTAAAATGGTGGTTAAAATTCTGATTTTGAATTAAAATTGAGGTTTTATAACCTAAAATTAAGTCTTGTTAAATCATGTTCATTTTAAAATTTATTGGCCAGTCTTGACCGTGTAATTAAGAAAACAAAAAATTGCACTGCGCAGTGCTTTTTTCAAGTTTTGCCGTTTTTACTATTACCATTGAGTACTTTTTTAAAATCAGTATATGAAATAACAATCCTGAGTTAAAAACCTCTAATAAGTTCTATTCCAATCCGTTCCTCACGTCATGCCCTTAAGCGATTTATATATTGATCACGCAAGAGCTGCTTTTTCGCGCTGAAATTTACGTTCGAGAAACCGGAATGATTGTGAAAATTGAAGATGATTTCCTCAAAAGAACACAGTTTAATGCCTTTCCCCCTTCTCTCGCTCATAAACTTATTTACTACTACAACGTATAGCAAGGTTCAATGTTTCTTTCGTGATGCATCCCTTTTACGGTAAGCTTTTTGTTTTTTTTGAAATTTAGGAAATTGTGGAGGAATTTGAGTACCGAGCCAATTATGATTAATGATTATCTTTTCTTTACTTTGGAAGCCACGAAAATAGCAAAAAGCTTAAGAAAAGTGGCTGCACGGTGCAAAAGTGACTGCACGTTGCAGTTTTTGAACTTTCATTCATTACGCGATCTAGACTAGTCAATAAATTTTAAAATCAACATGATTTGGCAAGTTTTAACCGTAGATTATAAAGCCTAATTTTTAATTCAAAATCAGAATTTAAACTATTATTTTACTAGCTTTCAAATCGATTGCACTGTGCAAATTAAAACCTTCCATCGTGCAAAAAATTCGAAAAATTTCAAAATTTTATATCAGAAAAAACAACAACTAATTTCAAAAATTTTAATTTTCTAAAAAAAGTGTAGTTTGTTACCATGCAGTTTTTGCTGTTTTAGCCGTTTTAACAGGGTTAACATAATGTAAAAGGTTGCGCACATCCTAACCGTATTTTACGTTTAAGAATTTGAATTTCAAAATTTTCAGCAAAAATGATGGTTTTATGGTTTGGAGCCCTTTACGGAATCTACCAACTTTTGTGGATCTTTATTCCAGTCAGTTTCATGTGTCGAAATGACAATTCGGCCGATAATATGGTAGTCAAAGTGTATCGACGTCGATTCATGGACAGTAGATAGGTCAGTATTACTTTGGAAAGTATGTTATGAACTATCAATGCTGTCATAGTCATCAGAGCCAAGTGCCTAATCTATTTTCTTTTAAACGAGCTTATAATGTTACAAAAATACGTATTTTACCGTAGTCAACTCTAATCATGAACATAATAAATGATCTCAATACTCTTAATATTATGGTTTAGTGCATCTGCATAGTAAAGTAATGGTATAATGTGCCATCATTTTTCTATATTAAAGGTCCTAATTTATTCTGCGGTAACAACAACAACAATTAACATAGCAGAATTATACTTGGTTGAGCACCAAAGATTTATCGACCATTTTTTTGCAAAACGATCAACAACTTTAGACAAACCGTGATATGAAGTCAAGAGTAGTACCATAAATAAGAAAATAAAAAAGATAGTAAATGTTTGCGGAACTACCATCCATAACATACTGTGGGGTACATAACTACAGCCCAATAGAGGTTGTAGTACCTAAGGCACAGAATATACTGTAGCATAACATATTGTGTGACAAATTATGACACCATACGAGATACTATTAGTTTTAGTAACTTAGTCAATGAATATAATGTAGTATAACATACCTTGCCATAACTTATGACATCCTACGAGATACTATACAAAAACCCATTAATATATCTTACATCATTTAGTACTGTACTCAAAAAAGTACGAGATTAAGATACAGACTATACCATGTACATACCAAAGCGGCAAAGCCGCATACCAACATGATCTATCCTAATATACAACTCCAACAATATATTACGTATTCTACCTCATTTATCGTATTTTATCGCTGTTTTTCCTCTTTCTTACTGACTACAGTAAACTTAACAGGATCGTCGACGATGAAAACCGGAGTAACCGAGAAGTCAAAGTAATGTAGAAGATCGAAGATGACCTCGATCACAATCAAAACAATGATCATCCATTCGAGGAAAGAAGCGTGTCGATGGGTTAGCATCTGATCTATCTGACTCACCAGATTCTCACAATAGTCCAAACGAGAGTTGAGTTCACTGAAATCAAGTGTAGTAAAGAAAGTTCTCGCTATTTTCTGTTCTGTAAAGAAAGTTCTTGTCATTTTGTGTTTTGTAAAGAAATTTCTTGCCATTTTATAATTTTTTAAACAAAGTTCTTGCCATTTCATACCCAAAAACCTTTTTTAAAAAAACTTCCTTACCGTAACCTCTTCCTGACAATGAAATACCGTAAGACATCAGCAAAGATCCTCTCCAAGTAATCCCTTTCCCAATAAAAGTCGGTATTCAATAGTCCACTGTTCAGGTTGGTCGAATATCTCAAAGCAGCGAATTCGCCAATTCTTTTTAGACATTCTCGACGCCGCCATGGTATGATACCCTTCTTCAGAGCTTGTGTCGTCGCATGTAGAGGCTCACTGTAGGCGTTCAGCTTGTGCTCCCAGATGGCTACTTTTACTAAAAGATTTCATCTTACGGTTTGTAAAGAAAGTTCTTGTCATTTTACGCTTTGTAAACCAAGTTCTTGCCATTTCTGAGCTTGTAAAGAAAGTTCTTGTCATTTTATTTTTTGTAAAGAAATTTCTTGCCATTGTATGCTTTGTAAGCAAAGTTTTTGCAATTTTTCCCAAACTCCAATAAAACCCACCACTAGCAGCCATTCCATGAGATATAGCGTATCGTACCAATGCTTGGCTAGCCTCTTTATTTTCATCCTGAATTTTCGGAATTCTAATCACATCATGTCTAATGATAGACCTGCCCATATTACTGTTATCAGTCTCCTCTACTGCCATATTCTCCATTTCTTGTTGAATTAGAACGTCATCATATGGTTTTTCGCCAAATTGCTTTAGGACATCTAGTAGACGATGGACTTCTGTCTTTTCGTAGTGCCAAGCAATCAAAACACCATCACCAAAAACGAAAAACTCTTTCTTTTGGGATGCATCTATGTTGTACTCGGCTTTTGGAGTGAAATGAATAGCGTCTTCAAATTCTGAAGAGAAATATAAAAGATTATGTTAACTTAGGTATCAATACATTGTTAGATGCCAAAAAGACTATCTAAAACAATATCTTTACCCAAACAACACTCCAAATAATCTAAAAACCAATAAAAAAGTATAAAATCCGTACCGTCATCAACAGAAGTCATTTGATATAAACTAGCCAACTTTTTGTCCGATAACAATGTCACCAAGTCCACGCTTTCAGCTATAGCTGCTCCATAGATCTGTGGACGTTGTTCTACATCTTTCCGTATCATAGAAGTAAGCGCTCGACGTCTTTTCACAACTCTACGAGCATTTTGACCAATTGGGGCAGGTTGTATAACGACTGGCGTGGGTTTCGTGGGCTCTTTGGTGGATTCTAGTCGAATATTTGAAATATGAAGTGATCGGGATGATAATATTGATCTGCATAGCTTCTAAAATAAAGTTAAGAAACTTTAAAGGATTACTGACGAGTTTTATAACTAATTTGTTTAAATCTTGCTTCCAAATTAAGATAACAACAATGATTTAGAAAACCTCAAAAAATAAAAGTGTGGTGAATATAAGGGACGTGCTAAATACATCGGATGGTCTAATCGAAAATAAATCAGCCATTTCTTGGCTGAACACGTATCAGCCAAAGACTAGAATTTTTTGGCTGATTTTTCAGCCAAAAATCTAAATTTTCTGTCTGATATCAACAGCAAAATTTTTGGCTGATATATCAACCAAAAATCATGATTCTTTGGCTGATATCTCAGACAAAAAATTTTGGCTGACATTTCAGCCAAAAAATGCGATTCCTTGTCTGATATTTCAAGATTCAGCCAAAAAATGCAATTCTTTGGCTGATACCTGCTCAGCCAATGAATCGCTGATTTATTTTCGACCAAACCATCCGATGTATTTAGCACGTCCCTTATATAATATTGATCTGTATTGTTTCCAAAACAAAGTTTTGTTGCTTCATCAGCTTCTAGACATCTCTTCACACCTTATTTAAACTTTACTCTATTTGAAAATACAGAAAAACCATTAAAATTTTCGTTTTCTTTAATTTTTTCAGCAAAATAATCCAGAAATAACGATATCTCAATGTGAAAATTGATCCCTATTGCTTCTAAAACAATATAGACATCTTTTAAAAGCTTTTGAACTAATTAATATGCTCGCCGTATTTTACCTAAAAACCAACAAGAAACACAAAAACCTACAATATTTTGACGTTGAAGCGCAGATTTTGTTGATGAATAAGATAACTGAACCAATTGAAGTCCAAATCGGCTAAACAAAGATGCTGAATTCATATTGATAACTTCCACATTCGTTCAACTGTAAAAGTTGTCTGTTTCTTATCAAAATGATGCAAAATTGTTTTTGGAAAATATTTTTGGGATTTCTTTAGTTGAAGCGGTATGCCAAGAAATTTGTTTTTTGCGAAATAAACCTCGTTTTGTGTGGTTTGAAAGTTAAATTTGATGGAAAAGGGTTCGAAATGTAAAATACGAGGTCTCTTTTAAGTCGAGTGAATTTTTAAAGATTTTAAACTAATATTAATATGTTTTATTTGTTTTTAACCTGTTAATCGTAATATTTTCAAAGACCTTGCTACCTATAAAGATTAACAACTCTTTTTAGATATCAAGATCTTTGAACAAATCCTTGTTTTATTTATAGAAAGCAGCGATAACGTAAACATTGATAAGTGTGACAAATCTTTATCTCGAGATGATCCCTTCCATGGTTATTCGAGATCGCGCAGTCGTTTCGAACTTCAAACCAATTTATACGTCTTTTTGATCTTTTTTCGAAAAATACAAATCTTTTCGTACTTTAATCGGAAATCAATATGATGTTGGGTATTTTAAGATATATTTTAACTTTTCTTTTTGTTTTTTATTTTAAGATATTCGGGTTCATTGTTCAGGAGACGCTTATTTTATCTACTATAACATGTTATAATAACCGAGATCAGAATATTTTTCACATTTTCTTAAAATGTCAATTTTATTATTATGTTATTCAATATACTATGACATGATAAAAAATTTTGAATTTACGTTTATGTTTACTTTACATTGCTTTACATGTGCCATTTTCTGGGAATTTTCCCAAGACTTTTTGTTGGACAAACAATAGAAGAAAAGAATTGGCATTGGGTTAGAAGAGAAGATGAATCCTTTATGAATGTGGGTTGGCATGTAAGGTTGGGTGGGGGCAACTGAACATAAGATAATAATTTGGAGTGGGATTTTAAAATTTTTAAGTTATAGGACAGGGTAGAAAAAGGTGTACGGCGGGGTAGGGATGTGTATGAAAGGGTCGAGTAGGACCGGGCAATGCAGAGCAAGGCAAGGCAATTAAGAAAGGGTAGAATAGGGTAGGGCAGGGTAGGGTAGGGTATGGTAGGTATGGTAGGTATGGTAGGGTAGGGTAGGGTAGGGTAGGGTAGGGTAGGGTAGGGTATGGTAGGGTAGGGTAGGGTATGGTAGGGTAGGGTAGAGCTTTTTTTGGGCATCGACATTTAGGATATGAACTTTAAAATTCCGTGTCATTTCTGTATGCACTACCTCTTAAACTCTTGTTTTTAAAATTTTATAATAATACTGTTATCATTTTTTTAAAAACGTCTATGAACCCTCTTAATACTCGTTCTTTATCACATTTAACACTGTGGAAAGCTGCTTAAATATACTAATCAAACAAATTCGTAGCAAACCACACAAAATCATAAACCTTTTTTTATTTTAATAGTTTAAAAACTATTTTAAGCTTTAATCCCTGAGGTCAAAGGGTCTGAACAGTTCAGGGATTATACTGTATGCACGTTTAGTACTGTCGATCTCAATTTTCTTATCCCACCGTACCCTATCCTACCCTACCTTATTCTATCGTATCCTACCCTACCCCACCCTACCCTACCTTACTCTACCCTACCCTAACCTAGGCATGTCTTAGCTCTCCCCTAGTACTATTTATGCCCCTGGCCCTACTTTTATTTTTATCCTTGTTTTTACCCTGTCGTACCTCTCCCTCCTTCCTCAAAAACGCTTCGTATTTCTACTCTACCCTACCTCACTTTACCCAACTTTACCTCACCTCATGCTACCTTACCCTACCCCATCCTAATCTACCCTACCTTACTCTATGTTACCAAACCCTCCATACCCTTCCAAAAAACATATTTAAAATCTGATATTCATACAAAAACCAGCCCAAAATACTCCGAAGCTGACTACCTTTTTCAGTAAATTTAATCAAAAATTCAAAAACTATGGTCATTTTATCAAAAACTGCTAAGAATTATGGTCGATTTAATCAAAAGTGTTGTGATTTCAACGTGTTCGTTCTTTAAATTTGATAATTCTCCTTTTCGGAATAAGATTAGTGCCTGAGGTGATCTTGAGTCTTATGAACGTTCTTTTCTAATGAACTTCATGTGAAGAGCAAGAGTGAACAGTTGCCAAGATTAAACTAGTCTTTGGCCACAACTTTTGGTTTTTATTGTCTTAGGTTTTTTAAATAGATATTTTGTTGTTTCTTATTGATTTATTACCTAAAAATAGGTTTTTGTGGCTGTTGTTACCTAATTTTTTTTTTGTTTAGCCAGGTTAATTTGTTACCTAAAAAAGTTTTTTTTTATTTTCAGGTTGATTTGTTACCTAAAAAGAAACGATTTTCCCGAACAATTTGTTAACTAAAAAAATTTTTTTAAGTTTTATATTCGATTTGTTACCTAAAATACATTTTTTTGTTTTTCATTTCGATTTGTTACCTAAAAACCTTATTTTTAGACAAATAGGTTTAGAAGCAAAAGTTCAACAAAAAATCTTGCGATTCTCACGTAGGCATGGTAAATATTTGTTGTTTTCTTTGAACAAGCACGTTTTTGATTGTGTAGAAAATGTGATTTGTAAAAGGAAAGAGCTCTTTGAAGTTTAAAATCAGCAAAAATACGTAAATTTTATCAATTTTGTTATTATTAGGTTGGTCAAATAATACTGCAAAGAATTGCCCTCAGCAAGTTTTAGGGGTTAAGGGCGCAGGATTATTTGAACAATTTAATAAAAGGAATAATGGCACCGAAAGCATAAAATGGCATAAAGCTAAAAATTAAAAGAACATTGCAAATGAAGAGTCAAAGCAAAAAATGGCAAGAACTTTCTTTACAAAGTAGGTGGATCCGCTCCCATTCCCCCTCCCAAGCGACTAGTCTGAGTTCAATGAATTTTCCTGATGTCTAGGCTCAAGACCAAAAAGAAATGTCCAATAATATACCTTATGTAAATTCTTTGTACTAGCCGAGATAGTATCGTACTGTCTAGTACTAGTCATGGCAGTAAAAAAGAAATTTAGTACTACCCACGATTTTACTAAAGCTAAAAATAGTACAAGCCATAACACTAACACACAAGCTAGTACTGGTTATTATTGTAATAGAAAATCCAATACCACGCTATTCAGTGCCAGCCATTATCCCTGCACTATGAACTCAATGGCAGTTAATATCTCGTTAACCAAGCCCATTTAGCAAATTTTAAAAATAGTTTATCTTGCCACTTTTTATGCTCTTTCATCACATATTGGTCCCGTTCTAAAACCCGAAGGATATTCGGTGCAACTCCCTTGTAACAACGTACTACCAGATGACGATAGATTTTTGGTGCCTCATACATCCTGAGGAACCAAAAACCTATTGTGAAAGCCTCCAGAGTCCAAACTACAGTGACTTACAATAACTGTTTACCTCACATGACTCCCACTCAATTACAGTGTTTTAGTCACAAATGGTTCTTTATTAAACTTAAACAGAGCTGTCTTTTAAAGGTGTCTCGTTAGAATAGAACGAAGAGCTCACTTTTGGGAAAAGATCAAAAAACCACTTCAAGCTATTTTCTGAAATCAACACGTAACAAAAAGAACGGTTCGAAACTAATTTGTCACACAGAAGTTTGAAGGTCTAGGTTACTATTTTTGTCAATTTATTACATGTTTATTAGAAAAACGTGCCGAGAAGTATTTTACATATATAAAAAAATTATTTTAAGTGACTGCACCGTGCAAAAAATTAAGCATTGTTTATATATTATAGTACCATGCAGAACAACGTCTAATCTGCGTCGTCCACTACCCTACCCTATCCAATTCAACCTTATTATACTTTACCCCACCCTGCTTTAAACTACCCTACCCAGCTCAAGCTCGGACTCAGCCTTAGGCTCAGGCTGAAGCTAAGAGTTAGGATTAAGCGTGGGCTTAGGCTTATACTTAGGCTTAGGCTCAAGTTCAGGGTCAGGCTTGGGCTTAAGGTCAGACTGAAGCTAAGGATAAGACTAATGCTATGTCTGTGGCTAATACTAAGGTTAAGTCTCAGAATCAAGATCATGTTCATGATCATGCTCATGCTCACGCTCATGCTCAAGCCCATGCTTATGCTCACGCTCATGCTCAAGCCCATGCTCAAGCTCATGCTCAAGCCCATGCTTATGCTCACGCTCATGCTCAAGCCCATGCTCAAGCTCATGCTCAAGCCCATGCTCAAAATCATGCTCACTCTGAAGTTCATGCTCAGACCCACGCTGATGCTCAACCACAAGCTCACGCTCATTCTCAAACTCATGCTCGTGCTCATGCCTATGTCTATGCCCATGCCCTACCCCACTTTACAATCCTCTATCCTTAAATCATTACCGCAAACATACCTTTCCTTCCCCACCCTACAGTACCAGCCCTCACAAACATCTGACTAAACCTCTGTCTTTGACTACTATCTCACGCTCTTTCGATCCTCAGAACACACTCAAAACCCGAACTCTCGCCACCCCGCCCTCCCCGACTGATAAGGGCTCAAAAACAGCGTGAGCAAAGTACTTGTAACATGAAGGTAAGGGCTATTTAAGCGCCGGTTCTTTGACTCCATTCTCATTATTCTTTTCTTGTTTTCTTTTTGCCTTAGGGGTTTTTAAAGGTCAAAAGGTGGGAAAGGGTTTGTCGGGAAAAAGTTTAGAACTAGGCTTTCATTTTAAAAAAAATTTTTGAAATAAAAATAAAAAAATTTTTGATTTTGTTACCTGAAATTAAAAAATGCCATTTTTGGAAGCTCCTTTCGCCAAAAAATTTTTTAGACATGTAAATAAAGTTTTTGCATATTTTAGGTTTGTAAATAAAGTTTTTGCATTTTCCGAAAATCTAGTTTGAATAAAAATTTTTAATTTTTGGCAAATTTTAAAAATTTTTACGCCAAAAATTTCAGTTTTTTCGGATAAAAATTAAATTTGAGGTTCGCAGACGTCAAAACGAAGTTTTCTCGCGCTTTATCGGGATTTTAGAATAGACAAAACAACAAAAAAGTTGTAAAAAAGGGGGTCGTACATCATACCAAACGATGACATTGGTTTGAGTGACGTTACATCTACAGCTACGTCTTTTTGATCTAGAACTATATCTTTTTTCCTCTATATCTATATATTTTTTCATCTAATTGATAGAGGTGAGAAACAGGCAGTATAGACCCAACTCGGCCCGATCTTAAGCATTGAGCTGAAGTTTCTACGAACCAAGTCTCAAAGCTAACTTTTTGAATCTCTACCCCTAAAGGCCTTAAAAAACTTTGAAATCCCTAAATCAACCTCATTTTTTATTTGATGACATTTCCTTGTTTATGGCATTTTTACTCTACTACGTTAAACCAAACGACCGCAAACCGTTTTCCAATGGCCATTACCATAACCCACTTTGTTTTTTTACATTGCTTTAACTCAATCTTTGTCTCACTATGACCTACTATAAGTTTGCGCTGTATTTCAGTTTATAGCTCTTCATACCTATTATAATGCCTTACACATAACTACTACAATATCTCACATTTGTCTCTCGATATTCGTCATAGTATTTCATTTTCACCCCTCCCAAAATCCCCTTATATCTCACTTCCACCCTTCCCAAAACTACATTATATCTCACTTTCACCTCTCCCAAAACCCCCTCATATTTCGCCACCAAACCCTCCTTCCCAACCATTATGTCTCCCCAGCACCCGCCCCTCCCAGCGGCCGGTATAAAAGCGAAAAAGCGCCCAACGCTGTGTCATTTCGCGAAAAAGCGACTGGGACCCTTTCAAGGGTCTATTGGCGTTTGCCCTCGGCCACAACGTCCTCACCACGCTTTTCGTGAGCTTTTTCGGCTCCGTTCTTGCCGTTTCGAATCGGATTCTCGGCTTTGTTTCGCCAAAAATTTGACTTTGAAAACAATATAACTTGTTGTTATTGGGGTTGGGATATAGGGTATTGTGCCGTCGACCGTTCGTAAATCGTATTTTACAATTTTTTAAAGATTTACAGTGAAAAAACTCAAACATTTTTCAAAAAATTTCAATTTTTGGGCTTTGTTCACCCCAGATTTTTGTATTTTTAAAATTTGATAGTCAACTTAACCTTTAAGTATTTGGTCTAAACAAAGCCCAACAACCTCCCTGACTTTTCTTTAACAAGTTTTTAAACCTAAATTTCCAGAAACCTTTGAAATTTTAAAATTTTCCACTAAAAATCCCCAAAGTTCCGCGAAATTCGCTCGTTTTTTCACTTTTTCCATACCTTTTTCGGTTAAATATAGGTCAGTAGGTATTGTATAATAAAGAACACTCTTTTTTACCACGTGTACTTTAAAAATCACACTAATTTTTTGTCAAAAATCGCCCGAAACCAATGTTTTTGATCAAAAATTCGAATAATTTGTTGTAAACACGAATTATAATATAGATTGAAGGGGTTTTTGATAGTTTAATGGTCGGAAAGCAGCTTGTAGCGATACTTTGATCAGATTAGTTGTTCAAAGCACAAGGTAAACGATCAGTTTGTTTTGTAGACATTTCAAAGCAAATTTTTGTGATTTTTTTTAAATTCCAGGAAATGCGTCATGATGATGGAGATTGTTTGTTGCAATATTGTTGTGAAATTTTTTGTAGTGACATAGATTAACAGTATCTTTTACTTAAAAATATATAAAGATATATCTTGTTTATATAATATTAAAATGTCATCATGACACATTTTCCAGAATCATGACGCATTTTCCGTAATTAACCTTTTTTCGGCCAAAATCTTGCCGAATTGGCCAAATTTGTGAACAAGCTTGTTTTTCCCCCACCATTCTCAAGTTTTTATATTATTCTGAAGCGGTCTGTTTTCAGCCACTTTTCACGTGAAGGTAAGATTAATATCCGCTAATGAAGTTTTTGGCCGAGTTCCGCTTGGGAACGTCTGTGCCTACTCGTTTTGTTCAAATCCTGTCCGTGAGAATTCTAAATTGGTGTTTTCGAGCTGGTATTTTGATTCTTGAACATGGAAAGATTTGCGTTATCTGCGTGGTTGATCAAGTAGACGATGTTGTTTTAGTTGAAATTTGTAATTTTCGGGAAGAAATTCGGTGAAGGCTTGTATAGATATGTTTGCAAGATCGTTAGCTATGTTTTGACGTAGAACTTTGAATTAGAAAGTCGCATTTTTAACCAGAAAATATTTAAAAAACGTCAATATTACCTATTTTTGATGGTTTATCAACTTCATACTCAATATTATTCATGTTTATATCTTCAAATCTGATAAATATCACGTGCATTACATGCTCAGTATATTTACTTATCATTTTATAACAATCAACATCAATTTTAAGTACTAAAACTGCAGGTATTTAGCAAAAGTTTGTTGACCATCACCTGACATTCCTCAAGTTCGGCCTAAAATAAGTAAAGTCAAGTTATTTTTAACCTGTTTATTTCTCAAAAAAAACCTTTTGACAGTTGGATAAAGCTTTTGAAACCTGGAAAAGTCTGATTTGAGGCTAAATTTTATTGTTGTTGATCAATTTTTCAGAGCTTGGCATGGTTAACATTGTGATAGATAATGGTGGATTTTGAAAGTTTTTAGAAATGTTGTTTGTCAACAAAATCTTAAGATTTTTTGTTTAAAAGATGGGTTAGGGTTTTGTCTTTGTTGTTGAAAAGTTTCATTTGGTTTTTGGATCAAAAGTTCTCGGACTTTTTGCACGGCGCATTCTGCTTTTAAAATTGAGCTGGAATTTGTATTTTTATATTGAAAAAAGTTTTTTTAAATCAATATTTTTGAGGTAATTGTTATGAAAATTGGCATTATTTTTTATTTTTCTACAAACTTTTTGACCGTTGAATACGTGTTTTCTTTTCGTCTTTATAATATTTTTAAAACCCTCTACATCATCCTCACTTTCAGAAATAATCTTGAACATGTCGGACAACAAGTGTACCTTCAACTTGAACGAAAATGACCCCGCTTTGATGACCTACGCCCCACCTGATCCGTTGAGTGCTGGTGCTCATGTTAAGGATCTTCCCGGCTATCTGAAGCTGTACGACCGGTCGGTTCGTGACGATGACTTCTGGCACGGAATCGCCCGTGAACTGTACTTTGAAGAGTTTTCCGGAAGAGGTCTGGAGTACAATTTTGACATTCGCAAGGGACCCGTCTACACCAAGTTTATGGCCGGGTCCAAAACTAACTTGGCCTATAATTGTTTGGAGAGAATCATCCAATCAGGGCGTGGCCAGAAGATCGCTTACCGATGGGAAGGTGAGGTTTATTGATTTTGATGGTTGACTTGGCTTTTTGAATTTGACTTTGAACTATATTTCAAAGTTTTGAAGAAAAAGGCACAAAAATTTGTATCTAACGCAATATAATTTGATAACTCAATATAATCCATCAATTTACAGGAAACGAACCCACCGACCAGACCCAAATCACCTATGAAGAACTGTACCGCCAAGTGAAAGCCTTCGCCGCCGCCCTCCGCTCTCGCGGTGTTCGCAAAGGCGACACTGTAGCCATCTACCTGCCCATGATCCTCGAACTTCCCGTAGCCATGTTGGCTTGTGCCAGAATCGGCGCTCCCCATACTGTGATCTTTGCCGGCTTTGCGTCTGAATCCCTGGCTGAACGTATGATCCAAGCCAAAACCCGCTGCATCATCACGGCCGATGCTTTTGGCCGAGGTGGAGCCAAAGTGGTACCCTTGAAGAATATGGCCGATGTGGCTGTGAATATCTGTAGAAAGAGAGGATTGGATGTTCATACTCAGGTAAGAGGGAGAGCTTTAGAAAAAAAGTTATACCAAAAAAGAAGTTATCCCATCTACATTACTATTTAAGCACCATACTATACAATTGACCATTACCTTTGTCCTCATTGATTATCAATTATGAAATTTTGCCATTTCAGGTATTAGTCGAACATATTCATCGTGTCAAAATCCCCGGCAACCAATCCCCACCTAAATTCGAATACCACCCAATCGATGTGAAGTACGCGGAGCTGGTACAACAACATCAAAACTCGGAATCACCGGTCGAATGGGTCGAAGCCGAAGACCCACTATTCATCCTCTACACTTCTGGATCCACTGGACAACCCAAGGGTATCGTACATACCACCGCCGGCTACATGACATACGCTTATGCCACGACCAAATACGACTTTGATGCTCAAGAAGATGATGTGTACTGGTGCACCGCCGATGGTGGATGGATCACTGGACACACTTACTTGGTTTATGGCCCATTGTTGAATGGATTGACCTCCATCTTCTTCGAAGGCATCCCAACCTACCCGACGGCCGCTAGAACTTGGCAGGTGGTGGAGAAGTATCAGGTAAGGATAATATAAGGTGAAATTGCGAATTGTAGGATTGTAAGATTTCAGGACGTATTTTACTATTAAAAAAGGATTCATTAGCTAAAAAAATTTTTTTTATAACTTTTGATTAAATCAAGGAAGACTATAGGATGCAGGCTGGGATAACGGCTTGCTGCAGCCTGCGGAACTAAGTTATACGATGGAAGGTGTCCAAGTGGTAGTGATTTTACTTAAAAAGATATTTTTGAGAAAAAAGGGTTTTAATAGTAATAAAAACAGTTGTTTTGAACATTTATATTGTTTGACACAAAAAATATTTTAAAAAATTCAAAAATCTTAATTTTAGGTAACAAAACTGTACACCTCCCCAACAGCCGTCCGCTCCCTGATGGGCTTCCCAGACAACCTGGTAAAAGATCACGATCGCCGCTCATTGAAAGTCATTGGCACGGTCGGTGAACCAATCAACCCCCAGGCGTGGCTATGGCTCTACGAATTTGTGGGCGAAAAGCGATGTGCCATCATTGACACATACTGGCAAACCGAAACCGGAGGTCATGTCATCACAGCCATCCCAGGCGCCGTCCCAACCAAACCAGGCTCGGCTTCGCTGCCGTTCTTCGGCGTAAGACCGGTCTTGTTGGACAATGATGGATGTGTGATCGAGGGACCGGGAGAGGGCAATTTGGTAAGGTTTGGGGGTGGATTTGATGAGGGGAGGAGTAAAGTTTTATTTTGGATCAAAAGGGGTGTTTTGAGTTAAAAAAAATTATTGTTTTTGGCATAGAAAAAGCTAAATTTTTGCGATTTTGCACTAAAATTTGGTCTTTTTACCTCTAAAAATGTCATTATAAAAATTACCCTTACTGAATTTGCAGTATATAATCATCCTTCTTTTAGTGCTTCACCGGCCCATGGCCAGGAATATCTCGTACCGTCCTCGGCGATCACGAACGCTTCGAAAAGACCTACTACAAGCCCTTCCCAGGCTACTACTTTACCGGAGATGGTTGTCGTCGCGACGCCGATGGCTACTACTGGATCACCGGTCGTGTAGACGACCTCATGAACGTATCCGGTCATTTACTGTCAACAGCCGAAATCGAAAGTGCCATCGCGGCCCACCCCGACGTGGTCGAATGTGCTGTGGTCGCGGCCGAGCACGCCGTGAAGGGTCACTCACCATACGCCTTTGTCATCATGAGGAAGGACCGAAAACTGACGGAAAGCGTCGTCAGCGAGCTGAAGGCGGTAGTTCGTGAGAAAATCGGCCCAATCGCCGTGCCAGACAAGATTCAGCTCAGCCCGGGTCTACCTAAAACAAGATCAGGCAAGGTGACGAGAAGAATCCTGAGAAAGATCGCCGAAGGCGATGCCAACGCTGATCTGGGTGACATGACAACACTGGTCGACAGCACCATCATCGATGATCTGTGGAGAGGAAGAAAGGTCCCGGTTCGTACTGGTTAAGTACTTGGGATTAGTACTATCAGTACTAATAATAGTATTATCAGTACTAAAACAGCTTTTACAGTATGAGTATTTCTGAGTATTGTATCTTTAAATGTATGTATTTTGACCTTGTATTGGGATGGTATAGTGGGTTATAGTATGTTATTGAAGGTAAGAGTATGTGCAGTACTGTAGGTGAGCTTTTAGTACTATTTTTGGTCCTAAAACTTCTTTATAGTACTATTTTGAGTATTAAAATGGTACTTTAGTACTATTTTTAATACCAAACCCAACCTTCAGTACACCCCACAGTACTACTTCTTACCCATAACCTACTATAACATAACTTTATCATGCTCACAGTCGGTATCACTTGTCCATTACAGTATATATTGTCTCAGAATAACCAAAAAAACATGTAGCAATGTAGAATATTAACCATAACCTTGTTAATCACAATATTTTTATGTTCTTCATTTAACCTGTAGTACTATATTTTCAGCACCAATAGTAGGATGAAACACCCGATGTTATATTGTCTCACTTTTTGTCTCATCTCTAGCTTTTCATTCCAAATGAACGTGTCAACTCCACACAACCTTGTTACTGTAATCGTGAAAACAATAAACTTTATTATTGTATGTGCTGTGGGCTATGTTATGGTAGTAGTGGAGGTGAAAATAGTACTATGAATAGTACTAAAATTAAAGTTAATACTATAAATGGTACTAAAATTGAAAGTGGTACTAAAATGGTACTAAAGTTAAAAGTGGTACTATATAGTACTAAAAATATAAATGGTACTAACTCATGTAACTTGTAATGCAAATAGTACTAGAATTGAAGTTAGACCTATAAATGGTACTAAAATTGTAATACGGTACTACATACTACAATTGGTACTATATAGTACTAAAGGTGAAGTTTTTGCTACGTAATGTTAATTGTACAGAAACTAGTACTAGAATTAAAGTTGGAGCGTTTAATGGTACTGAATTTGAAATATGGTACCACATCTGACAATTGGTACCATATAGTACTAAAATTAAAATTTTAAGAACTTATAGCCTAATACTTTTAAACTTATATTATTACTACATAAAATTTTTTAAAATTGAATTTTGTTACCTAAACTTCAAAAAATTTCAAAATTTGCTACCTAAAGACCAAAAAATTTGAAAAATGACGTAAAAGTCACGTTACACGTCGTTCTTCAAAAGTCCTGACACAAATAGAAAGTTGAACTTGGCCAGAACGTCGAAGACAACGTGTCCCCCAGGACCAACCCCTCCGGCATTTTTAAAATTCCAAAAAATCAATGTTCTTCCCCACGAAAACACAAACAAAGTAACAAATTGTTGAAAAATAGGTTTTAACCATTCATATGTCCACGTTTCTTTATAATACTGTATCCGAAATGGCATTTTAAGTATATTGGGCATATTTTTTGGTTTAAAATGGCATTTTTTTGAACTTTTGTTACCTAAAAACAAAGATTTTTCACAATTTTTTAAAAACCACGTAAAACGCTTTAAAATAGACATTGATATGACCCTATCAGTGGGAATCAACTTACAATCAGACCATGATAACAGTTTTATAAAAATCGCCAGAGCTTTGGAGAAACACTGATATTGTTGTAGGTTGGTAACTTTAAAACTACATTTTAGTTTTCAAAATTTTTTTAAATAAAAAGACTGTTCAGACCGTATTTTACCAATATATACCTAAAAATTCCTTCAAATCCCTAAAAATTTCACATTTGACCCCGCGCAGCTTGCAAACTCTGGGGCGCAAGTCAAAGTCAACTGTTGTTGTTTTGGATCGACGAAATCGTGAATTTCATGAAATCTGATGTTTATAAACAGAAATTCATGTTTATCGTTGAACTTGTGAACTCGTTTTTGTTTCATTCACGTTCTTTTCGGTTTCATTCACGTTCTTTTCACCTTCTTTTCAGTCCAACTTGATATTGCTCTAGTTGATTTTTGACCAAAGAGGTGTTTCCAGTTTTTGAGCTGTATTTCCTGTTTTAGTTTACAGTTTTGCAGCGTGTAGCCGTGATTTATTGCATTTGCAAGTGTTTGCTGAGTTTAATATTGAACTGGAAGTGATTTTCAAGATGTTTTTATTGTTTTTGACTTAGTTTTCAGCTAAAATATTGAGGTTTTGACTTGTTTTGGTCATTTTTCATGGATAAGGTATGTTTTATATTGTTTTTTGTTGTTTTCGGTAACTTAAAGGGCATTTAGAAGCCTTTGATAACTTCGACGACGAGTTCCAGATGATGTTTAATTTGTTTTCAAGGATTTAGGTTGGTTAATCAAGCTTTTGAGGTTGTTGGCAAGCTTTGGCTATTTTATGGGTAAGATCTGGTTTATTTTTGTGTTTTAGGTATTTTAGGTAAGATTTACTGATGTTTTTACTACTTTACGACTGCTTTTCAACAATTTGTTTGAGGTATCTTCAGATTCAAGAAAGTTTTTCAAATGTAAGATCTTGGCTTTTTTTTGTTTATTGTTTTAGGTAACATTGTTTACATGGAGATTCCTGACCATATTAATGTACTTCAAAAGACCTTCAGCTTCATTATGAAGATATACTGCATATTTACATCGCTTTTTTCCTGAATTCTTTGCAATTCCCCAAGCTTTGGTCATTTTTCATGGGTAAGATCTCTTGTTTTTCCAACTGTTATTTTAGGTAACATATTGTTCATTCGGATGTGTTTCGAAAACATTATCTTTGGTTTGTTTAGCTTTTTAAAGGTCGCATACTGTTCATGTGTTTATTTTCTCACCAAATCGAATGAATTTTGATGAGCAGCATTGCGAAGTTGTTGTCCGTGAGGTCGGGACGTGACTTTTCCGATTGAAATATTTAATAAACTTGGTTGGAATTGAATCTTGAAGATATTATCGGTTTTTTGACGTTATTAGGGCAGTTCAAAGATTGAAGATTGATAAAGCGATCGAAATATCTTGAATTAATGTATTGATTTGTGATATTATGATTGTTTTGCTTATGTTTGGGTCAGTTTTGTATAGTTTTCATGGTTTTAATAAGTACAAAATTAGTACCATAATATATTTTGACCTGCCTTACTTATATGCTGCCTCTACTGTAGCTAAAAACTGCCAAAACTTATTAAATCTTGACCATATTCACTATGATAATGTCCTGTCTTATGAATATGACGTAAGAATTGGGAAATGCCCCATCATAACCAGGGGCAGTATCACGTGTTTTTATTGATCTCACAACTTGTGCATTAGCGGAATGTCAAGGTCAGTAGTTCCGTTCGCTCTTATCGACAAGAAAGGTTTTCGTGGAGGAGAAAGGGGCGATCTTGAAAAGGGTTTTGTATAAAATGTGCAAAATTTGTTTCTTTTCACTTTAGTTTTTGGTCTGTTTTATATTATAGTAGTTTGAGTTGGTGGTTCTGCGGGTATGGCTAGTATTCTGACTTTTTAGGGTCTGATACTTTACTTTAGAGCTGTGCTTATTCATTCATTCAGATGGCTGAGGGCTTAGTATGAGTTTGAGGTCGATTGTCATGCAAACTGTATTTAAATGTAGTAAGTACTGGGAAAAAATTTGTCTTTTTCAAGTTTTGGCTACAATAATATAACTTATAATTTTTGCCTTGTGTTTTACAAAAACCAACTTTTATTTTAATAACAAAAAGCCGAGTTTTATATCTTTTTTGGCAACAACTACTAAAAAAGCACAATTTTTTGGCGGAACTTACTGCATTTGAGACACTTGTTTCTTTGTAAGTATGCTAATTTAGTCGCGTAGGCCAACTTAGAAGTTTCACTTTTTCTATTTACGGGACTGATAAGAATGTAAAGAACTCATTGATTTTGTATGGATTTTGAATTTTAAATTAAGTAAATTAAAATTTTAGGTGCTTAGTGTAGTCTGTGATAGTTATATTTGTAATTAAAATTGATTTTTAATAGAATACAATCATTTATAATACTATCGTTTGATACTGTTTTGCCGTCCAGTATCGAAAAGTCAGTATAAAAATCTATTAAAAATCAACTGTAGTCACAAATACAAAAAAAATGTTAAATAAAGTCATTACGGCTTGCTGTTTTGTTTCATTTTCAATCTGAAATCAATGCGTTCATAACGTTTCTCTCGGTCTCGTGGACAAAGTTCGCCTTCAAAATTGGGTTATGCGACTGAATTAGCGTACTTTCGAAGGGAAAAAGATGCTAACTACATTGGGTTCGGCGAAAAAATCGTGTTTTTATAAATTTTATCGCCTAAAGATGGATAAAACTTGTTGTTTTTATTACTTTTTGTGAATTTATAGTTGGTTTTTTGTAAAATACGCTATGCGTGTGTTTTGTGACTTATATTTTTGATAGGGAAAAATTGCATAAGGTAAAAGTAAAACTCCCCGTTGGAAAAGATATACAGTAAAACACTTGTATAACGAAACGGTCGGACATTTTTAATTTGTTCGTTATAAAGTAGTTTCCATTTTTAACTCCAGTAAACAACTTTATAACGAACAAGTAATGTTTCCGGGCGATTTGTTATAAAGGAGTTTTACAGTATTTTAAAGCTACTACAGTAATCGTGAATTAAAAAATTTTTGTTTGAAATCTGATTACCGACCTCGTATTTTAAAATCTTCTTTATCAAAGCCTATTACTTTTTACAGTATTTGTTTTCATTGAAATTGACATATGAAACATGGAAAGCACACTTGGTTCATTTTTTTGTTGTAAATTGTAAAGCGAGCTGACGTAGTTGATAAACATGGGTTCAATCAATTACTCTTATCAATTTCGGTTGACTTATTACAGAGTTGCCTGCGGTTAGTTACAATTTGTATATGGAGTAGGAGGAGATGGGGAGGTTTTGTGTTAATTAATTTGGGGGAGAAATTAGTAATAGTCTGGACTAAAGTTAAATGGAATACTTTAGTGTTGGAATTTGATTTTTGATGGTTTGTACTTTTGTAAGAGGTTATGTTAGTGCCCATGGCATATTTTTAA